TACTATAGTTATTTTTAAAAAGTTATAATATATAAAGAAATAAAAAATTATGAGACCTTCTTATTGGATGGGGCCTTAGGCAACTGTCTAACTCGCCTAAGGCTCGGCCCATGCACCCACCCGTTACCATAGTCTTATTTTATAAAATAAAAAAATTATTTTTTTTTCTTTTATTTGAGTACGTGTATCAACCCCACAACACACGTATCATTTAAGTCAGGAGCGTGATTCGACATTTAGACCTCAAGAACTTACCTCTTAAATCCCTACCAACATCGCTTTGCATATGAAGACAAAAACAAAAACATAAACCAAAAAAAAAAACTTCTAACAATAATACACATATTTGTAAGTTAGACTTTTTAACATGTGGATATTATTTGAAAAAAATGGTCAGTTAACTACCTGTCAACCACTTCCTAGTTTCTACCCATACAAACCAGCCAGAAAATTGCGAAATTTTGAATATAACTCAATGGTATTCAATAATTGAAAAAAAAAATAGCCATGAAAAATTCACCAAAAAGAAATATATATATATATATATATATATATATATATATGTGGAAGCACGAAGTATATGTGCATAGTTTTCGAGATATTCACATCAATATATACAAATAATGATTTCTGAAGAATAAAATAGCCATGAAAAAATTCATCAAGAGAGACAGAAAAAAATTGAAAGTAAGTAGAGAGAGTAATGTCTTTGTTCAAAAGAGCTGAGGTAGGAAATTGAGCTAATGAAAATGCCTTGTAAGCCCAACACTAAAACTGAAGAAGTGTTTGGGTGCTCTCGGCCCAATTTAGCATGGTCCAAGAGCTAAAGATGACCAAAACGATTGACTTATGAGGATCCAAAACTCGGCTCAGGTTCAACTCACAAAACTCATACCCACTCCTTCTCGTAAAAAACCTTTCCATATTTCTTGAATTAAAGTTTCATACTCCACTTACTACTGGTCTCACACTGCTAGAGAAACACTGAAGGAAATCCAGATTCGTGGACACAACTACCAAGTGTTTGGTTAGGAGGGTTTGTTTAAAATGAATTTGTATCTAATTACTACTAAACTAGTGTTGGAGGTGTCCCAATAAAATGAGTATAAATGAATGAGGTGTGAAGCATTATTTAATATTTTAAATTTTTAAGTCAGAGAGTATTAATACTCCATAATTTATTAGAAAATATTGAAAATTAATAATAAAAAAATATAATTTATCAAAATAATTATTTATTTAACTTAATTAAAGGAAATCTAGTTAGAGTAGGAAATACTAATAATAATAAGATAGTAGTAAGAAATCTAACTAAACCAATGGACCAGTAACCCAGTGTTATTAGCCTCTTACTTCTCAAAGGGAGGTCAGTAGTTCAAGTCTTAGAAGCGATATAGTGTGTGAGTACAACTAGGAAAAAAAAATCTAATTAAAGAAGGAAATATATAATATTTTAAAATTGAATGACTGAAATTTAATAGACAAAAAAATTAATTTGAGAATGAAATATATTATATTAAAATTTTTATTTATTTAATTCAATAAAATAAAATCTAATTAGAGGAGAAATACTAATAATAATAACATAGTAATAGTAAATACGAATCGAAATTCAATAAAATGAAATATATAATTTATTTCAATAAATACATAACAAAAATTATATTCAAAATATACCAATAAAATTTTAAATTAGGAATTCTATATACAAGATTATTTTTATATTTATTTTTTAATAATTTATTGTAAATTTTTTATAATGTTAGTTATTTAAATAAATAATATTTTTATAATATTATTCATATTTAATAAAAAATAATGCAAAATTCTTATATATATATATATATATATATATATTTATCCTCACAATTTTTTTTTTAACTTTACAGCTTATACACACTGCCGCTCACAAGTGTGTTTTACTATTACATATATATAATAAGTAAAACTTGGTTTTTTTTGAAAGATTATAATATGTATAACTTGCAATGGAGGAAAATGTTATACACAATTTAATTTTAGAGTATGATACTTTGGCAGACAAAAAAAGGCCGAATATTAGTCCAAATCCTAAGTGGCTGTGCCACGTCATGATTTCATTAATTATGCCCCTCTCTCTCTCTCTCTCACTCACTCACTTCATGTGTTCGGCCTCTTGGTTCTCCTCCTTTTTTCTTTCTCTCCGCGGTGATTTTTTTAAGACCTAATCTTCACATACCTAATCTGAACTTCCGTGGGTATTTACATGAACAAGGCTAGATTTGATTGCGTTCTTTTACGTGAATATTTATGTTTATTATTCTTCAAAATCAAAACTTCATTTTTCTTCTCTTACTTCATCGCATATGAGCAATGACGGACTCAAAAAAATTTGTGAGGGGGGTGCTATTTTAATTTGTGGGGGCAAATTTATATAGTGGGTCTATTTTTGTAATTTCAATGGAATTTTCTTCATAAATTTTTAAAAATTTAAAGTATAAAATGCAAAAAAATAAAAATAAAAATAAAAATTAGTGGGAGCGAATTGTAATATTAGTGGGGGCATCTTCAAATATTCTCAAAAATTTGAAGTAAAAATGCAAAAAGAATAATCCAATGAGGGAGAATTATAATTTTAGTGGGGGCATCTTCATAAATTCTAAAAAACTTGAGGTATAAACTAAAAATATAAAAAATTCAGTGAGGGGCTGATGCCCCCACTGGTCTTATGCTAGATCCGTGCCTCTATACGAGAAATGATATTTGAAACACAATTTAGAGGAAGAATAAAATGCACGACAATCGAAGGAAGAAAGAGAAAGGATAGAGAAAGAATCAAACCAATAGAGAGGGAGAGATCCAAAGTGTATGAACAATCCACTGGATGAATTGCAAAACAACTTTTTCCATCGATTCAAGTCTTGATCTCTCTCTACCCACTTAAAATTTGATGAGGCCGTAGAAGACAAAGTCGGAGAACTCAACGAGATATACAAATTGATGGTTTTATCTGGAAGAGGACTGCCTTCTGTAGCCGCGATTGCGGAACTATTCATTGGGGAGGTATGGTGAAACAACCTTTTAGCATTTTATTTATTTATTTATTTTTAGAAAATTACGTGGCTATGTCACTTAGGATTCAGACTAGGGATGGCAACGAGGCGGGTTTCCCTAAATTTCGCTTCGTCCCTTTTAATTTTTGTCAAGTCCATGCTCGCCCCGAGACCTATGACAGGTTGGATTTTCATGTCCAGCCCCGCCCTATTGGGAAATACTGTGCCCCCGTGCCCGCCCCGCTAACAAATTTTTTTCTCCCACTTTTTGGAACTTAAGCCCCTGCTATTTAAATGTGGAAAGCCTGGGAAAGACACAACATAAATGAAATTATATATCCCAACAAAAAAAAAAAAAAAAATAACATGCACATAACATAATTCAAATAACATAATAAACAAAAATAAGAGTTTAATACAACTAAATCACGAGAAGTTCTAAGCTCCAACTTCCATCATTACCAAAACAAAAGCAAATTTAATACCAAGTTTACATCTCAAATTAGGATTGTAAGAGATGGGTAACTGGATAAGCCGATAAAATAAGTTATTAATATTATATATATATATATATATATATATATATATATATATTAGCGGGGCGGGGCCGGACCCCTAGGATATGTATATCCCTTACTTGCCCCGTGACCCGCGACGGGTGCAAAATTTGTATCCATGTCCACTCCAACGGTATAAAAAATATTTCCATATCTGTTATTAACAGGGCGGGGCCATAAAAATTGACATCCTTAATTTAGACATATATTCAGACAATTTTATTGGACTTAAAGATAAGGGAGACTGACATATAAACCATCATGTTGACAAAGAACATGCCAATTTCTTAGGTAAAATTGCTGTTATAGTCAAGAACTGGCCGGTTCAATGTGAATTAAAAATTTTACTTTTAGACCCGTATCATTGGTTTCATGCTACTTGTTACCCACGTCTCCTTGATTATATTTGGATGTGGGACACATATGTGAAGGCTTCAACTTTCCTCCATTGGTTTTATATTGCTCCTTTGCACACTGTTCTTATGCCTATATTGGTCAATGGTATGAACATTGGATCCAATCTGTTGGGATGGAGTAGATATTGGGTTATTATTATTTTTTTTTTCACCAAGATATTGAGTTTAATCATTACATTTTTGTCTCACGGGTGAGGTCCAAAAAAAATTTACAGACTTCAATAATTATTTTTGTTAGGTAACATAGATACAAATTTAATTATGTTAAATCACAACGCTAATTAATAGCATGACTGCAAACTTTGGTTACAAATGAAATTGTAACGACCCACTCCACCACATGATATGATATTGTCCGTTTTAGGCCTGAGCTCGCACAGTTTTGTTCTTCGGTTTCACCCCAAAAGGCCTCATACCAATTGGAGGTGACATACTTACATATAAACACTTCACCTTTCCTCTACCGAGGCCCGTAACTCGCCAGTGTGGTAGCCTGACAGTGTCTCTCGCACCCGCCCACGGCACACCGCCCACAGGGTCATCACAATCCACCCCCCTTGGAGGCCCGACGTCCCCGTCGGCACACTTCCGGCTGAGTCAGGCTCTGATACCATTTGTAACGACCCACTCCACCACATAGTATGATATTGTCCGCTTTGGGCCTGAGCCCGCACGGTGTTGCTCTTCGGCTTTATCCCAAAAAGCCTCATACCAATTGGAGGTGACACACTTACATAGAAGCACTTCACCTTTCCTCTACCCAGGCGATGTGGGACTGTGCACCCGTAACTCTCTAGTGTGGTAGCCTGACAATGTCTCTCGCATCCGCCCACGGCACACCCGCCCACAGGGTCATCACATTGTAATAGCGGGTTCCAAATTTATAATTAAAATTTTATACTTACATTTATGATTGGATCACATACGTAAGAAACGTGAATAGAAAAATATTATTCTTTTATAAATATATATAAACTTCCACTATTAGTACACCATTTAATTTTTTTTTTTTTTTTTTTTTTTTTTTTTTTTTTTTTTTTTTTTATACAATACAATGGTTTTGGACAGAAAAATCTTCCTCCCTTACCATACCTGATGAACTTGGCACTTGAATGGGTTTGGACGAGAAGTGATACGAGTAAGTTTATTTTTGTCTTTATAACTACACTCAATCCATTAATTATAGCATATATCCCGCGAATGAAGGATTCTCTTAGATAGATCATTTCAACGTTGGCTTACTGATCGATCGTTTTGGTGACAAGAGTCTTTTGATCTGGCGCTGTGGACTTCCCTTCTTTCTACCTAGTGGGGTTGGTACTTGATTTTGGTGGTGTGGTGCATTATGAGACACCTTGTAAGGTTCCTCTGTCTGTCCCTGTTAGGTAGAAAATAAGAAACTGCTGCATATATCATTCTTTGACCGGATTGGAAGCGATTACCTGTTGTTAACTCTATCATTCTCTAAACTTTTTATCTTTGAGTTAGGTACCATATACACTTTACATCTAATTTTATTCACCTTTATATATACTCTTCTATCAAATGAACACTCAACATGCATTATATTTACCGGTTAAGATTTAATACTCTCACAACACTTTTTTTTAAATATCTCTAACTCTACATAAGTCTCCATTTTTCTAAAATATTCTCAGAACTCATTTGGCACCAAACAGCCGCTATAATGGTTCATGAAAAAGGAAAATACAACACAAGCATACCAGTTACTGGAAGGACCCAAAAATTTTATTGATTAGCATCATAAAATTAAGAAAATGAAATTAACGACAAATTTTAAAAAATAAAAGAATAATTATAAAAACTTAATTACCTAAAGTTAGAATCTATTAATGAGGGGCAAAAGTATATAATATAATATTTTAAAAGATTGAGTGAGGATATTTTTAAAATTTTAACAAAATATATAAATAATAATACAAATAAAAGAAATTCTAGGGGCATCCGTCCCACTGCGCCTATGTTAGGTCGGTGGCTGCTGAGTCCAGCACTTCCTGAAATTGAATGAAAATTTGAAAAATTTCCAATTACTATCCTTCTGGGTACATCTTTATATGACAGAGAAGTGCTCTTTCAGAGTCTATAAAATCAACTAGGTACTAATATTGATTGATGCCTAGCACTAGCAATTGACAGTTTCTAATTGATCTAGATATAAATTCAAAAACCATAATTATTCTAAAAATCATGAACCCAAAATATATATATATATATATATATATATATATATATATGCATCAAATCAAACCAACCAACATGAACATGTCCTTAGAGTGCAAGCATAGTGAGGGTACGCCAACTATCTTCATCTGACTCGGTGTCCTGTGACCGTCTCACGAGTGTCATCCTCTCGTAGACCAGCCGGACAGCTCTCTGCCACCGTGGTGTGCCATTGCCGAGGCGTTCGGTGCTGAAGGCTATGTGACCAAGTTGAAAAAAGAAAAGCCTGGATGAGTACATCATGTTGGTAAAAGATCGGCGAAGGGGTCTGAAACTGAAGGACAGTTTGAGCATGAAAGGCCATATCAATCCGGCCACCAATGTCGGACTTAGGCTGCGGGCGGTGGCTATGAGGTGGAGCTTGGCTAGGAGCAGCAAGTGCAGCCCCATGGGGAAGGTAGTACTAATAAGTTTATGGGGTTACTGTGTGTTTGGAGTACAATGAATGATGATGATAGTAATGTATGAAGGACAATTGCTTTAGAAAATGTGTCTCCTTTTGAGAGCTTGTGAATCACACTAGGGGGGATGTTTGGAGAATGAGAATCAATAATTTTATTGGGTGAAGTCATCAAATGTGCAAAACACAAGCTGCCATGATGGAGACTACTAAATGGACACATATAACCTTCATAATTAATGTATATTCTACGAAAAAGAAATATATAATAGATTATTTAAGAGTGATAAAATATGAAAAATGATACGTCTAGTTGTAATAGTACACATTCGAGATTTATCTTTTAATTTCGTGCACTAGAAGGTTAGCATGTATTGCAGGTATTATTGTACACGTTTAAGATTTACCTTATAGTTTTGTACACCAAAATGACATCAAGTTTTGCAGATAATTGTGCATATTCATAATTTACCTTACAGCTTCATACACCAAGAGATCATTGGATTAGAAAGGTCCTCTTTTCAGAAAAATAAAAGTAAAATAAAATATGTAAGTTATATAATCACTATTACATTGAAATTCTATCAAAATGTTTATTTATTAACTATACCACACGAGTTTAAACAATAATTTAATATTCAATTATTAAGTGAGTCGAATCTTAGAATATTTGACCAAATTTGTTAGATACGTGAACGGGCTCGTAATGAATTGATTTGTTAAAACTCAGTTAAGATTAACCAAGTTAATGTACAAATCAAAAGAACGAATTTAATTTTTTCTGATGTGCTACAAAAGTTTCCATTTTGGTACATGTACATAGCAAATTCTAGCAATATTAGTTATGGATATATAAGACCCCACATAATTTATGTGGATTAACTTAGTATCTTCCTTTATGAGTGACAATGTCAAAAAAAACTAATTATAACCATATGTTATAAAGGAAATATTAATTGTTTGCAGAAATTATATGGGTACATCAGTCAATGAGGAGTGAGCAAATTACATGAAAAAGAATTATGGTCCCCATATGGTTCCATTACCTTATCGTGGTGTGTTAATTCGTTGGACGTACAAATAGACGGTCCCTCTGGATAGGGACGAATTTGTGGGGCCCAACGTTGGTGAGGAAACTTCCAGGAAATTTCTTCCATTGTTACCTGATGAGATATATTTCGGATTTTTGTGTGATAATATATTAGGTAAGATGGGCCACGATGACAAGTATGTTTGGATCTCGTACAATGCATCCACTTGGGTATAACCTGTTTGGATCTCGTACAATGCATCCACTTGGGTATAACCTAAGATATATAAAGTGAGAACAGAAAAATAGTAAATTCGATAGCGAAAGTTTAAAAGTGATAAAATTAAGTTATAAATAGTGGCAATGGGAGGGATAGCACGTGCGGAACGTGAGAGCTGGGGTGTGCTTAGAGCGTAAGAGCGATAGTCGTTGAGAAGAATGGTGTGACTTAAGAAATAACTTAAGACTCTGGACCAATATTTCTACAAGTTTTCAGAAATTGGGCCAAACGGGCCCACTTTCTCACTGTTGGGTTTATGTTATTTTGAATATTGGGTCATTAAGGCCCAAAAGTAACCTAATAAATCATCTCATTTATTTATCCCATTTGCTCTCTGAATTTATAGTTTTTTTACTGTTGGGCTTTTATACTATAGGCCCAGACTGCCTATAATTTTTTATACTCTTATTTTATTTTTAATTATTGGGCTTTTGAGCTTTAAACCCAGCCTATAAATTGTGGGCTAGTTCAAAGGCTTAATACAATACCACACACATTCTCAACCATTGGCCCATTACTCTCTTATATATATCTCTTTTGCCACTTTGAATCACACACGTCTAAATTATATATATATAAAAAACTCATTTCTTTAATTATTTTATCTATATATTTTGACATACAAGGACTTGGTCCTCGTTGGATTTAAGTTTATATTTTCGAATTGACTAGCACCGTCCATATTTGCAAGTAAAGAAAGTGATAATCATGTGTATCTATATTTTCTTCCCCTTTTAAAAAACTATTATCTCATTTTATATATATATATATATATATATATATATATATATATATTGCTCTCTTTCACTCGTAACAAATAGCAAATATTTATGTGTGTTTGCAACCTATATATTTTACATGGGACAGATTAAATGCAACTATTGGTATATATAATATTATTCACTCCATATCTGATACTGCTGGGTGCAGATTGCTCAATCAACAGTTCTTGGGCTGCTTCCTTGTAGCTTGTTGTTTTGGGCCTTTGGCCCCTCCTTTTGTATATTCTGGCTTCTTAATATACTTTTATTCACCAAATTAAAAGCTGCATGCAAAATTAAACCAAATATTTACTCTTTGTTTTTCTTTTCTTTTCTTTTTTTTTTCGAAAACAATCTATTGTTGTCTTGCTAAATTACTATAAAGGCCCGTTTGGCATGCGTTTTATTTTAGGCGTTTTGTTTTTGGCTAAAACAGAAATAGTGTTTTTACTATTTGAGTGTTTTGGCAAAAATCGGAAGCACGTTTGGGAATGATCTTTTACTGTAGAAATGTCGGAAATAAAAACATGCAAAACATGTTTGGTAAGTCATGCGTTTCAAGAATTTTAAAAACAAAACATGTTTGGTAGCTCCAACTGTTGTAAACAAAATAAAACAGAAACAAAAAACATGTTTGGTTATCATTGTTTTTAATTTATTTTTATAAATTTTAAATTTATTTATAAATTTATTTCTATATAAATAGTCTATATATTTTTAATAAATATATTAAAATTTGAACACACAAACACACACACACACACACACAGTATGTTATCTTGATCTGAAACTACACTTTAAGTTATTTGAAATTTCCTGGTATAGTTTGTCCTTTGGTGATGATTGTCCATAGGTTTGTGTTTCATTCATTTTGCTCATTTTTTGCATTAGCGAAAGAAGAAAAAAAAAATACTACACAGCTCTAATAATAATTTTCGACTCTTATAAGTCTGCATTGGTGGGAATTTAACTCCAAAATACAGATTCTTGCCTTCTCTTTTGTAAAAAAATGTAAACCCCCACCAAATTATATATATATTAATTTTTGTAATAACCTATTTACAAGTTATTTGTAATAACCTACTTCAATTTTATTATCATTATACATGTATAGTCCAACTCAATATTAAAAATAAATAATCTCTAGTCACATTTTACTATACTACATGAGAGTCAACATTTGTAAAAAAATTTGGAATAACCTATTTACAAGTTCTTTACAATAACCTGCTTCAATTTTATTATGATTATACCTGTATAGTCCAACTCAACATTAAAAATAAATAATCTCTAGTCACATTTTACAATACTACATGAGAGTCAATATTTGTAAAAAAAATTTGCAATAACCTATTTACAAGTTCTTTGCAATAACCTGCTTCAATTTTATTATCCTGATACCTGTATAGTCCAACACAACATTAAAATAAAAACAAACTCAATTGAAAGCATAATTGAAATAGAGTGTATAACATTTACAAGTCCTTAAATATTCAACCAACAAATTAAACAAGTTTAAGTTGTACATAAAATGGTTGGAACAAAGCATTAACAATACAAAGTTGTCACTAAAAATTGATAAGAAGTTCATAAAGTGGATGACAATGGCAACGACACATCATCTTCATAACAGCACATGTGGCTTTCAAGAGAGCATCAACACACTTCATATCTGCAATAATAGCATTTAAGTTGAATTATACATCTGTAAAAAAGATTTATATTACATATATATATTGCAAGCTCACAATAGCAACAAATATATTACATATAAAAGAAAAAATATACCATCACTTTCAGAAGGATCAAGAGTGCTGAAGAGAATTCCAAATTTGATCAGCAATAGTATTACGCAACTGATCCATTTCTCGAAGCTGAGCCGAAGGCACATGCTCAACAATCTCATCATCTTTACCATCACTTTGAGGTGGATCATTACCATCAAATATGTCATCAGGCTGATGCTGATTTTTGATGAAATTATGTAATGTGCAACAAGCCATTACAATCAATACTTGTGTTGAAAACTTATAAGGAGGCATTGCCCTCAAAATAGCGAATCTCATCTTCAATAACCTAAAGCATCACTCAATTATATTTCTCAAAGATGAATGCCTATGATTGAACACTTGCTCCCGACAACGAGGTTGTCTAGTCCTACGGTATTCTTGAAAGTGGTAAGTATGACCTCGAAATGGGGCCAAATAACCAGGCTTATTGGCATACCCTGAGTCCACCAAATAATACTTACCTGCCATGTTTAGATTACATAAAGATATGTACAGTATGATAAACTAACTATATATTAAGTGAATTTGTTAAATAATATTACCTGCTGGTGGAGCTGGAAAGTTCATTGCCTCATTTTCAGTACACTCATTTAGGAATCTCGAATCATTAGCTGAGCCTTCCCACCCAGCTAGCACATATGTGAACCTCATGTCAAAGTCACATACAGCCATTACATTTTGTGTAGTATAACCCTTTCTACCACGAAATGGAAGTTGTGTACTTGCTGGCAGAGTTGCAGGAATGTGGGTTCCATCTATAGCTCCCACACAATGCCTGTAGTAAGGGTAAAACCTAGAAGACTCTCTAATCTTATTCAGAATCACAGAAAAATTAGGAGGGGCAATGATATGGGTGCCCAACTGACATACTGCATGCAACACAGCATGGAAGTGTCTAGAAATGGTTTCAGTGGAGTGTTGAAATCTCTCTGCTACAACACGATTCCTTTGATTATGAGATAAAGTGAGCAAAAAGATTGTCACTTGTTCATAAACAGTTAAAAATTTAGAATCCTTCAGCCCTATATCTTTCAGGGTACTACACAATGTTCTGAAAACTTCAGGGTACATCCTAAAATTTTCATAACATCTTTCTCTATGGCCGTTTAAAATCTCCATAACATATGTTTCCCCTTGTAAAATGGAATCCCTACAACGCCTTTTTTGATAGAAGTTCTGCTCTTCTAAAAGAGCAGCAAATATTAAGACACTCTCATTGTCCTCCTCATCGTCATATAATTGAATTATTCTTCTTATATTGTTCCACAGATCCATTACCCTATTTAAAGATTTAATACAAGCAAAACATTTAAGTTAATAAACAAATCAATTAAATAATAAACAAAACATTTAAATAATGGTATTAAAGTATTTGAGTACTAACAGGCATCCAAGAAATAAAATTATTTAAGTTATTATAACCATCCAAATGTGAGATAATAAAAGTATTTAAGTTATTACAACAATCCAGATGTGAGATAATAAAAATATTTAAGTTATTACAGTAATCCAAATGTGAGATAATAAAAGTATTTAAATTATTATAGTCATCCAGATGTGAGATAGTAAAAATATTTAAGTTATTACAGTTATCCAAATGTGAGATAATAAAAGTATTTAAGTTATTACAGTCATCCAAATGCGAGATAGTAATAAGTTAAACGATGACACAAAACACAATCATTCATAAAGAAAAACTCAAACATTCAATGCCCAACCAATTCTTACATCCTCAGGTGCCGAAAGAAAAAATTTCTGCCACTTCTCAGAATCATGTAATAACTTCGATACCTCAGCGAATTGGGCCATCTCAATTCCAGGTATTTTTTGTAAAAGGAGCATGGAAGCATCAAACATTTCATAATCTCTATCATTTTTTGAGGGAGAGAGAGCTTCATCATCTCCTTTCTCACATAAAGATACACGAGTAGAAGTAGAAGATGCTTTAGCTGCTTTCTCTATTGCAGCTTCCATTCTCTCAGCTCTCCTCTCAGAATTCTCATTCATGTTTGACAAGAGTGCAGCTATACCAGGAGATAAAACATCTCTTTTGGCTTTCTTACCTTTACGTAAAGGTGGGGGACTGACCTCACAACCCTCTTCCTCATCATCGTCATCATTGGGAGTGGGCAAAATGATTGTGGGTGCTGCTGTAGTGGATGGGTGGGCATGCATCCCTTTTGCATATGTGTCCCTAAATATAGTCGACATCTTGTCAAAATGCTTACATCCATACTTTTTATACTTATTTGCATTCGTAACAACCTACAAATTTTGTTATAATATTAACCACATAACCAATAATATACAAGATTTTATTATTTATTTAGGACTAATAATTAAATTACTAACCTTGCACAACCTGTCCCATCTCTCTTCCTCAACTATAACCATGCCCGTCTCATGATTATATCCCACGCCAGTCTCCGATAATAATTTCTTAAACTCATTATAAATTTTCCTCAAACCATTAAACTTATTCCGAAGTTGGGTTAAACCAAATTTTCTCCCCGTTTGAACATTCATATGTTTGACTAAATTACTCCAACCACTTTTACTAAATATTGTGCCACTACGATTATTAGCTTTAACTTCTTCCACTATAATATTCACGAATTTTTCAATGAGTGACTCATCCCATAACAATTTTCCATCGTTCGTAACTTCAACCACTTCTTCAATTGTGAGAGAATCACCGCATTGTTCCACATTCTCAACATTCATATCCATCTAACATATTAATAACAACACTATAATTAATAATAAAAAATAATAATAATATTAAACTAGGAAAAACTATTGATGGTATTAAAGTTACTCTATCACAACTACTGATTCATGAATTTAATAAAGAATACTGAATGAAAATATAAAAAATAAAAAACAAGAAGAGAAAGGAGAAATTGGTGATAAATGTTACAATATTAGGTATTTTACTAAAGGGAAATATGGTCATTTCATTGTAATAGCAATTGTATATATATACACATACGTGAGAGGAGAAAGGAAACACTCTTAGTCACAAAATTTCACTAATAATTGTATTTTCTTATTCTAGAAATCCTAAATTCAATAAGAGTAAAAGATGCAGATATTCTTCTTAACTTATGCATGTTTTACTTAAAAGTACTCAATTCTTGATTAAATATGCCACAAACTTTACAATAAAATGATTTGGAGAGTTTTGAGAAACTTTTGCTTCTAGATAAACTTTTAATTAAAAATCCATATCAATAACAGTATATTTTCGATTGTATGGAATATTTATCATTTAATATTGTAGCATACTTACATGTTATGCATCCACTTAATTATTCATATTTTTCTTATCCTTTTATAGATTTGTATAACCTTGAACCTAGTCATTTTATATATGCGTATCGCGTAATCTAATTGGAAACTTTGTAACCATGTCACTCCCAAGCTCCCAAGCCAATTTTATATACTACAACTGTGCAGCATGCCGTGGAGTCTCATTTTTTGATAAGTCATGCCACGGAGCCTCCTGTTGAAGAGAGTTTGAGTTTGCATACATGTCACCTTTCCTGCAGACCAAAAGAATAAAAAATAGAAAGAGCAGAACTTGGAACTTTCCTAAAGTTCCACACATATTTTTCATGGTTAAGAGGAAAATTAAGAGTCGACCTACATGAATAAATATCTTCTGAAGGTCCAACTATGATCACCCAGTAAGGACAAGCCTAACTCACAAGGGCAGAATGGCTGTTCAGCAAACGGGTGTTAGATCTTTGGTTCTGACTGGCTCTACCTAAATCAACCACGCATGACATTCATCAAGACTTTGCTGACCCAAAAGGTACCCAGAATCATATGTGAAGAGTAAAAGTTCAAAATATTTCCTAGAAGTTTAGTCACACATTCTACAGCATCTACCTCTTTCAAGCACGCTGCACTTTACTATTACTCTACAAGCTCGCTACACTTTACTATTAGTCTACAAGCTCCCAAGTAGGCGATTCCCATCTAATCCTATTGCCACTGTCTCTTTTTAAGGACGATATTTATTTCAATAATTTCAGATAGCAAAGTCACTGTACAATAGAGCTACTTGCGCAAGGTAGTGATTTAAATGCTTGTGACAGTGTGATGTTCTATACATTCACATCCATCTTCCTAACTCTTTGCTGAAACTAGAGTATGCTTACTTTAGTTGATTCTATGCTTCACAAATTGAATTAGAGATCTCATAATTCTACTTGCTACTTGTAAGCTACCAACAGCCGTCAAAGTTAGAAGACGTCCATATATGAATAAACAATCATACGACCAGGTAAATTGATAGAAAGAAACTCAGAGAGCAAACATATATGCACATTGGGATGGATAATCTGATTGTATGGGATTAGCTAGGAAGAAAGGCGTAAGACCAAAATGATCCCGTAATTCATAAAATGCATACAATAAACAACTTTAAGCCTTCGATTGAGTGGATAAAGCATCTACTTAAAATTTCCAAACAATAATATCACCATTTGGGATTTGCTTATAAAAGAGTACATCTCAATTCATTAAGTTCTCTATATATCTGAATTTTGACAATCTTTTTGATAAGTCAAATTTAAATTTCAATATGCACTTATCTCTCTTCATCAACCAATTAAGTCTCCTATTGTGACAATCACACCTACTCACCTGGTAATCAATTACTTCTCAAGACCATCATCATACTTCTTTTCTGTTGGTATGTCAGAATCATAACCACATTAAGGAACCCTCAAGTCTTATATCTAAATTATTTGAGTTCATTATTAACTATATTTTGTATTAGGAGTTCAATATTTACTATATTTTGCATATCAGACCATTTAATTATAAACTAACAAGACACAACAAATTCCTCATCGCCATCGTCGATTTCTTGGAAAAATAAAAAAAGAAATTGAAAAGCTAGAGACTTTAACTGCATTAGATCAGAGAATTTTCCATAATACCATTTCCGAATTCAAAATCCAAATAATTGAACAGAGAGAAATAAAAATATGAAATTACTACTTTTATCTTTTTCTAAAATACTCCGTATAAAAGAAAAGAGAGCTCAACAAACCTAATTCATATGATTATTAGAACGGCTGCTGGGCTCACGAAAAGAGCTAAAACAGTTGAATTAGCAGTGGTAAATGCAGCCAGAGTACTAGCATTCCCAGTTGCTGTTGTCAACCAGTCCACGGCAAGCTTGAATAGAAACACCACAAACTTGCTCAGTAATCAATAGTCAATCACTACATTTACTTCCTCAGCAACAATTAATTACTGAAAATCACACTCTTGGTAGATGTAACCCAATAGCAATTACAGAGACTAGAGATACAAACTACCACCCACCTTAGCTCCAATCAGAAAAACACAAGGCAATAACCACCCACAAAAGAATACAAGACATAAGGAGCCCCAATTTATATATATACATACATGTATCAGCAAACATGCACATGTGAGTGTTTGTGTGTGTGGTGTAGAATTCGACATACAGGTTGTTGTGAAAGAAATCACCGGATTTGAAGAGAGGACAGCGGAGGAGAACAGGCAGCGAGAGGGAAGATCGGCGAGAAATATGGAGGCTCCGCCGTCCGGTTGGTTTGAAATCGACGGCGGAGCAGAAGAGCCTTCCATGGCGCCCAAAAGCACAAACCTTCGACAATTTTTATACCAGAGAGAGAAAGAGAGAGAGAGTCGAAAGAAATTCGTCTTTGTGACTATATGAGAGTATACGTATAGATTTTCTTTACAGATTTGGACTTCGTGCTTGTAGATTTGGAAACAACATCAAAGGAAACAACAAAGAAAGGGAAATAGAAGACAGTACTCACAGTATGTCGCGATTCCTTTTTGTCGCCTCCCAAATCGCTTCTCTAGGTTTCAGAGGAGAGAGAAAACATCGGGCCAAAATGTTGCAAATCCGTTTTAAGGCTACTTCATCCGCTACAGTATTGGACCAACTTACTTCATCCGCTACAGTGTTTTTTATTGGGCTACAGTACTGAAACAACCAAAAACACCATTTTGGTGTTTCACTTTTGGACCCAAATTCAGCACTGTTTAAAACAATATTTTTGTACTGTTTAAAACAAAATAAGTGTCACCAAACATGTTTTTGGGCCTAAAATGAAGCCCTGCAACAAAAACACCAAAGTAAAACACATAACAAATAGGCCCTAAGATTTGGCAAATTTTTCTTTTTGGTTAAAATGCAAATACAAGCGATAGAGATAATGTCAAATAAACTCCTTAAGATATAGTCGAGTTGGCATACCTAGAGGTCTTGTGTTCGAGGAATTAGTCCAACCCCCCAAAAATGGGGACATATAAAAAAACTTTGAAGCCGTGAAATGTTCCCAATCTTGTTCTCCCTTTAATTGTAGCTTACATTGTTGTCCTCCTTAATCAAGCCTCAAATCCCCCAATGCCATAACTTGTTCCTCTCTGCATCTAGCAATGTATAAAAACGAGAAAAAAGGAAAATTGTTATTGCAAGTCCAACCTTGAAAAATAAAAATAAAAAATGTTCTATTGAGTTGAATGGAGATTGTGATAAAAACATTTTCTTACATATGAAACTATTGGAACTAATTTAGAAAGGAAGGGCAATACTCCGGTATATTTCCAAATGAACAGTTAAAAAGACTGATCACCGACCTCTAACTCAAGTTATATATATATATATATATGTATTTATTTATTTATTTTTTTAATACTCCATTATAGTTTCAAATGAACGGTTAAAAAGAATGATCACCGACCTCTAACTCAAGTTATATATATATTGTTTTCAAATGAAAGGTTGAGAATTCTAATCTTAATAACCTTTCAAAAGAGTTCAAATTATTTGTAACTCAATTAAGCAAGCTGCAAGATAATAAATGGATTACAGAGCAAGTAGGAAATAAGTTTACAAAATAAAATGGATTACAGATTTAGGAAATCCTTTAAAATGTGTTCAAGCCAAGGCCCAAGTCTAATCAACCTTAATTTTGGCCGATCAATATCTTGATTGGTTTGGGCCAACCCAAACTTCATTTACGCTTCCATTATATATTTAAAAGTATAATTGATTTTTTCATAATTAAATCGACAAATATATATATATATATAAAAATGATCTAAGGCAACATTTTCCTTAAAATGAAATTAATGGAACATATATTTTACTATTTTACCCTCAACTTTAGATATACTCAAAGAAGAATTAGCTTGTTAAGAACCAACGGCCAATAACCTAGTGGTACCAAGCTCCTATTTTTCAAAGGGAGGTCAAGGATTCGAATCTCGGTGGAGGCATGTGTGTGTGAGTATTAATTAGGGAAAAAAAAAAAAAAAAAATTCGCTTGTCAAGATAAAACTGGTTTTTGAAATTTGCATATATCAAAGAGGAAAAATAATAATAACAATAAATTTAGCTTACCTCGTTTGAAATAACAATAAATTTAGCTTATATGTTGTGTTTACTATTTTGCTCATCAATGTTTAATGTCATTTTTGGCATTAGAAGGGTAAAATTGACCGTCTATTAATTTTTTATGCTTGTCTTTGCCAAGTGCCTAGCAGTGAATAATTAAATCGGAACCGCATAAAAAGTAAGTGAAATTATAAAAAGTAAATAGTATATGTAAAATATTGACAAACCTAGGAAGATTTTTGTGGAAGCAAACATAATATTATTCCGAGTAAGTCTTAACCTACCATAAAAAATAATTATTAAAAGGAAAAATAATTTAATTAATAGAGTAATATTTTTGGTAAAATATACAATGGCCCAAAACTTATACTCCGTAGGTGACAATATCCCCCATTCGAAAACTCAGCCCATCAATGATAACCCCACGCCCACGAAAAACCACAAACACAGCAAGTCCTCTCTAATTCAAAACCAGTCGTAGTAGAATCGTCGGACACAACCTCCAGAACAAGAAAACAAACCAAAAAAAACACTTCCACAAACACACACTACACACTGCCATCTCCAAGCCCCTGTGCAGAAAAACCCTAATTTCTTGTTCTAACAGAAAGCATGAAAGAGGAGGCAGACAATGGACCCCCAAACAGAGAGCTATACGCACTGCTACATATATCGCCCGAAGCCTCAGATGAAGAAATCAGAAAAGCTTATCGTCAGTGGGCCCAAGTCTATCACCCTGACAAATACCAAGCTCCTCAGGCACCCCTTCTCTCTCTCTAGATTTTCATTTTCACACAATACTTTTATTTGTATAGTTTTTTTTTGGGTTGATTGATGACTACTTTTGGAATAGTTGAAGTTTGTTGTTGTTGTTTTTTTTCTTCGTAAATTCTAAACAAAATCTAAGCTTTTGGAATAGTTGAAGCTTGTTTTTCAATGTAAGAATTTGAATTCCAATTTCACTTAATACTTGACGACATAGGGCTGAATCAGTCTGTATTGTATTGGGTGACTGGATTAGAGTGCTGTTGTTCATGCTGGCTATTAATCTTTTTATACTTGAATTGATAGTTGAAGTTTGTTGTTGTTGTTTTTTTTTTTTCCTCGTAAATTCTAAACAAAATCTAAGCTTTTGGAATAGTTGAAGCTTGTTTCTCAATGTAACAATTTGAATTCCAATTTCACTTGATGCTTGATGACATAGGGCTGAATCAGTCTGTATTGTATTGGGTGACTGGATTAGAGTACTGTTGTTCATGCTGGGTATTAATCTTTTTATATTTGAATTGGTATATTGTTCTTGGGTACAAGTGCTGTATTAGTCCATTACTTTGTTCATGGTGTGTTAGAATCAAATGTTGCTTCTGTTTATATTTTTTCTTTTAATAGTTTTCGGTGGTGTTATTTTTGACCTTTGGTTGACCATGGGAAGACTCAAGTGATTGCTGGCTTTTCAATTAACTTTGCTAGCCATTACATGAACCATTTGTTTAATAATTGAAACAATATAATAATTTAATCCTCGGAGATTATTAGAAAGTCCCTCATTCCCATTAAAAAGAAGCATAACGCCCTCCCGCTCAGATAATTTAGAGCAAAGGCGAAGATAAGTAGGGGCGGCAGCGTATCGTCCTTTTCCCACTGCTTTTTTCTTTTCGAAACTGGAAATTGCATAAAGTAAGCCTGTTAAATTAAAGTCGAAGCAGACCGTGCGCTCAATCCCTCCTATCTCTCCCAGTTCTTCTTTCATTTTGCTACCAGTTCAGTAGGCTGATCCGTATGAGATACCTAATCCTGCAATGACAATTCATTCTTTATCAGCAATTCTTAGATGACAAAAATCAAACATGAATGACAATTCATTCGATATCAGCAAGTTCTTAGATGGTAATTAATTTTCTCCGCATGCGTAGGTAAGGATTGTGAACATCTAACCCTCCCAGACCTCGCAATGGAGGGAGACTCGGTGTTTGCCCTTTTATTCTAGTGAGCAGTTCTTGGATTGCATTGCAACAATTTATGTAACGGCTCACTCCACCACATAGTGTGATATTGTCTGCTTTGGGCCGAAGCCCACATGGTTTTGTTCTTGGATTTTACCCCAAAATGACTCATACCATTTGGAGTGTACCCATCCAACATATATAACACTTTCCCTTTCCACACCCAGGCGATGTGGGTTCGTGCACTCGTAGCCTGCCAGCATGGTAGCCTGCCAATGCCTTGCTCACACCTCCCCGCAAGGTTACCACATATTGCGTGCCTTATCATATGGCTAATTACCCAGTGTCAATTCTATTGTTTGTTTGGTTGAGATGTTGGTTTTACTTCATGATGTTAGATTAGAATAATTGACTAATATTATATTGCACATTCTAATCGACTAATATTCTATTGCACGCATGCTTACAGATGAAGGAAATCGCTACAGAAAACTTTCAACGGATATGTGAAGCCTATGAGATCTTAACTGATGAGAACAAAAGGCAGATATATGATATATATGGTATGGAAGGGTTGACTTCAGGTTTGGAACTTGGTCCGAAACTAAGTAAAGCAGAAGAGATTAAGGAAGAGATTGAAAGATTGCGACGTAAGAAGGAACAAGAAAAGGTCTCAGCCCATGTACGGCCTTCTGGTTCAATTGTGGCCCATTTGTCTTTGCCGAAGTTTCTAGATGGTGAAGGCATCATGAGAGGGTACATTTCATATTATTTGATTTCTTCCTTCATTTTAATCCTTTGAATGACTTGGAAAATGTATTTTTTACGTGGATTTGCGGGGAACACAAGCATGATATGATGTTAGGTCAAATTGAATGGTGCTCCTTTTGAGTGGCTATTGCATTTCTTTTTCCTTTAGGTTCAAACTAGAAATTATCAAACCCCCTCAAGTGGATGAACAATTTTTTCAGTTATGAAACAGTTGCTCTCCCTCTCTTGAAACTACCTCTCCTTCGCTGTGTCTTCTTTTTCATTCTGAATTTTGATATGACATATCTGCAAAGAGGCCCGACTTTTTCTTGTATTTGGTTGTACCAAAATGTTGGCTGGAGTCATCGTCCATATTCATCTATCCCTAAGGTAGTTTGTGTTTTTATCTCACTTTCTGAAATCAAGTTTTACTCCTTTTCTGCATCCATTTCTTTCTGAAATACAATAATGGCGTCTAGATTTTGTTTCGGAGTTCATTTATCCAAAATACAAAGTACAGCAGAAATGCTATAACTGTTATGTCTTGAATTGCATAAATCATGATAATTCTTCTAGACTATTTTCTGCATTTTTACTACATAACTGTAAGTCGTCTTTGTTATGTGCTAAGATTCAACTTAAAAACCCATAGCCTAGTGGGCCAAGTGGTTTCTGGTCGGTCTTCCAACCATGAGGTCTTGGGTTCAAGTCCCTTTGTTGCCTCAAAATAAGGATGGACCAAGTGGTATCTGGTTGGTCTTCCAACCATAACGTTATGTGCTCAAGTCCCCTTGTTACCTAGGAAAAAGGGTTGATCTGACAATGTTATTTCCCATTGTAATAAGGTATCATCATGCTTTTGTCTTTGAAATTTGCTCTGTAAACTTACTGTCTATATTCTTTTGTCCTTAACATCTCAAAAACATCTGCTATTCCATGCATACTTAGTGATTGTTTAAATTCAGGTTTTTTCAATGTCCATTTTGTTTGATAGCTTGTTTTCATATTCATAAATGTCAGGATGTCTATGTCTAGCGAAGTTCAGTCTCAAATATCCAAACGCAATGTGATCGCTATTGGTGGCAATATGGAAGTTAGAGGAAATTCTGGTGGTGGTGCTGCTTCTGCTGTGCTTAGACATCAGATATCTTCAGATTCTTCTGTTGAATTCATGGCTTCTGCTGGTTTACGGGCATTAATTGGGGTACAAGCATCTCGGTAGGTCAATTGCTTTTGTGAGTCATTTTGATTTCTCAAGTTTCTTCAATTTGACTATTTTTATCCACCTCTCCTTTCTCTATTTATTCAGCAACATATCTCGTCACTCCACTGCAACAATAGGCCTTACAATGTCTTTAAGAGATGGTTCATTCAATCTTTCTAACTATTGGACTCGCCAACTGTCTGAGACATCTGAAGGAAATGTATGCTTCTTTTGTTTAGAGTGGGGTCATTTGAGGTTTAAATTTATACAAGTTTTTGTGGTAATTTTTTTTTGTTTTTATTTGGTTTACTACCTTTATTCTACTGCAGATACAGCTCGTTTTAGGTCCAGAATCATCTGTAGCTGTTGGATGGCAAAAGAAAGAAGAGAAAATGTCTGCTGCAGGGGAGATTAAGGTACATCCATGTTTTGTCTTCATAGCAGGAAAGCATATTTTCACAAAGAAGGGTGAATATATTTTTTAATTGGAAGTACATTGAGGAAAAACACGATTGCATCAAGTTATTATGCTAATATTTCGTTGGAAGTTATGATGCCTACAAGTTTAGAAGTTACTCATGCTTTTCCCAGGCTGAATTACTGTTAATCGTCATTTTAGGTTTTCTACTGTAAACAAAGATTAATTCATCTATAACATGGGACATCGGTTCATTCTGATTGAGTTCTGGTTGCCAACAGCAATGTTAAGGATGCTGTTCATGACATAGACGATCTTATTAAATAATCCATATTAAGTTGGCTTGACCTAGACGATCTTATGACTTGACCTTCAGAAACTGTTTTTATCATGGAATTTGCCAATCATAACGGCACTAAATACTAAGATCTCTAGTAATGATATTTATTTTGAATTTTGGACATGCCTACAATATTGGTGTCAGACATGGACATGACACAGTCATAGAAGTGTCAGTGATTTTCTTTTAACAAATGATAATTAATATATTATTAATAAATAGCATGAGTTTTCTATTTTACTTATAGAATTTTAATGCAAAAACATAGAACTTATTTTTTCATATATAAGTTGTGCTATTGTTTTGTTATAGTCCTTTATTTTCCTAAAGGACTCAATCTTATGAGATCTTACTTCTTTTTGCATCTAGCTTCTAAATTTCTAATAAAGAAAAAAAAAAGAAAGAAAATTAAGAATTTAATTCAAGATTGCTAATGTAGTGTTATAGAAAGAAAGTATAATGTGTCCTGGAATGTTTTTCGAAGAATATGCCAGGGTTTGGTGTTTTCAAGTAACCAAGAGCTCAATGAAAAACCAGCTGGATGCTATTTATGAATAAGATTGCTAGAGATAAGTTTTAAAAAATCTTCTATTTATTTAATATATAATTATACTCTAGGATACAGGCAGGCATCAGGTACTAATTTGCCATAAGAAAGTGACCAAAAATTGTAGTAGTAATAATTTTTTTCTTGCTTACTTATTAAACAGTGAAAAAAATTTGTTGGCTAATAAATCTATAAAATTCTCTATAGTTTGGCATTTTTCGTAATTTATGTTTTAAGTTTGTTACAACAACAACGACAAGAAGCCTTTTTCCTAACTAATCGGGGTCGACTACATGAATCTTGTTGGAAAATGTTATAAGCGGATGTAAACATGGTCTCATGTTCTTATAGCAATTATAAATTTGTAAAACATTCATGAGATGAATGTGTAGATCTATACCTCTTGGGTTGTAGTAGAATCCCAAATCCTAGATGAAACCTCTCTTGAATTCTTTTAGCTCTTCCCTCCAAGCTCCTTCTCCTTCCTTGGTCTCTAGCCTCTAGAATATCGCCTCTATGAACCTTTCTTGAATTTCATAAGCCTAGGTTTGGGGTAAGCTTAGAGAGAGAAAGTCAGAGAACCTAGAGAGATAATATGTGTAGAGAGAGCTTCTTGTCTTGAGAGAAAACCCAAGACTTGGGGTTATGAGTCATTATAGCACATATATATAGCCATATAAGAGTCCCAAGGGAGTGCTCATATCACTCCCTACACTGTGGCGACCTTGTGGGCAGGTGTGCGTGGGCGGGTACGAGGCACTGATATGCTACCATGTTGGCCGACTATGGGTGCACGATCCCACATTGCCTGGGTGTGGAAAGGGGAAGTAGTGTATATGGATAGTATCATACTATGTGGTAAAGTGGGTCGTCACAAATGTTACTAGAGCTTGATGCGGCTGGAAGTGTGCCGACGGGGACATCAGGCCTCTTAGGGGGGTGGATTGTGGCGATTTTGCGGGCGGGTGTGCGTGAGCGGATGTGAGGTACTGGCAGGCTATCATGCTGGTAAGCTGGCAGGTTACTGGTGCACAATTCCACATCGCCTGGGTGTGGAAAGGGGAAGTGATATATCTGGATAATATCATACCATGTGGTAGAGTAGGTCATTACACACACTCCTATGGAGTGCTCATAGCACTCTCTACATTATTTTTTTTTTTCACTCCCCTCTTGCTTAACATTCCAACTTGGGCTAGAAGTGAGGATCTATTGGGCCCATCCTCTTCTTGGCTCCAATAGGCTATTTCAATTGATTTAGTCATCTCATGACCTAATTAAATAGATTCATTAACCAAACTTAACTCCAGTATATAAGAATGGTTGCACTCCAATTAGAGAATGTCGAAACCATGAAGTTAATTTACGATATGACCCCTCTATACACAATTAGCCATCGGATAAATAAATACCATCAATCCAATTTCTTAATTGAAACTTTTATTTTGACTTACTTGATTAATCCCCGCTCGATCACTTAAAACTTTCTTTTGATAAATAAATAAACAATAAAAACAATGTTATCAAAAACACCAAGGCCTTAGATTTTAGTGATCAAACTAATCAAGTCAAAGTAAAATATCCTATCATGGATGCAATTTTGAGAGTATATGTTCCAATACTCTAATTAATGGTTACCCAAAATACTCAAATTTTAGGCTCATGAGTCCATCGAAATAACTCAAAGTAACCTTCAATTAAAACGAGAGTTCATTCCTCCCTCATGCTTGAGAGTCACTCGTCATAACACTGGTAAGGAGCAATTCTAATGATGGCTTCACAATCTTGTCAATTTGTCATTTGTTCCGGTTCAATTCTTCTCAAATAGTCCATCCTCTATCACTCAATGTGAACAATTTATGATAATGCAATATCCGTGATTTATATCACCTATGCATGAACACCCATCATACACATACAAATCACATTGCTTAGTTTGAGGGACAACCTCGACCTATCTACAAGCATTCACCATAACTGTATATTAAGCATTTTACCAACACAAATTTCATTAATAACAAATGTCAAATACAATCCATTCAAATGCTTTGAAGGGCACATAATCCCAATAAATCCTATGTTCCATTCCGCTCTATCCAAGGCCATAGCCTCAGTCAAACCATATGGTCTTATATCCTTCTTTACTAACTTTACCTACGTTAATTTTGGCCTTCCTCTTCCCCTACTATTACTCTTAATGTGGACTATGTTACTCTTTTTAACTGGCGCATTTTATGGACTTCTTTGCACATATCCAAATCATCTTAACCGTTTTTCTCTCATTTTATCTCTAATTTGTGCTACTCCAACAATCTCTCGAATAGTGTCATTTATAATTCTATCCTTTCTAGTCTTATCGCAAATCCATCTCAACATTCGCATTTCCACCACACTCACTTTATGCATATGTTGTTTCTAGTTGCCTAACATTCTGTGCCATAAAGTATGGCTAGTCTAATAGCGGTTTGATAGAACTTACCTTTCAATCTTAAGGGGATTGTTATTTTAATGGATATTTTTTTTGGATTTTGTTGATAGCTTAAAACTATAGTGTCGTCCTGGACGGTGGTTGTATTCTTTGGGAGCGCTCCCCTTTTTTTTATGAAATCTTACTAATAAAATATATATATATATATATATATATATATATAATAGGGTAAATTGCACTGACACCCCCTGAGTTTTGGGTCAATGCCACTCAGTGGACGATTAATGCACTTGTTTACATTTACACCCTCTGAGGTTTGAAAAGTTCACTGACACACCCCTCCATACTACTGTAGTATCAAAAAATGACCATCATGTCCTTTGGCTTTTCAATATCCACTTCTAAAATGACCCATTTAACCTTCTGACTAATGCAAAAAAAACCAGACCACCATCGTACCACAACCACCGCCGCCACAATTACCTATGCACCAAATTCAACATCCCAAAAACATACACACACACACACACACACACACACACACACATATATATATCCTGCAAGAAGGGGCTTCAAAATGCACCAAATTAATGCTTGCTTGTCCTAAACTGAAATTTGGGATTTAAGGCCTGACATGGCGGCGTTGGTGGCAGGGATCTAAGACCTGGGGAGGCAATTGGCCTCGCTCGCCAGCATCTTGAATGGCATCATCAACCTATCTTTCCTCGAAGCCGTCGAGAGATCCCAGAATGCCATCGATTCCGGCGACTGGGTTGGGTGAATCAGTCGCGGCGGTGGCTTATCCAAAGGCAACGACTTCTTCTCTTCGACGATGGTGGCGATCGATACGTCCTCGACGCGTTGATGCTTCGGATTGTGGAGCGAATCGGTGAATCCATGAGACGGCTCACCGTTGGGGACGCCGGCTAGCGAATCACTCACCATCGCCGCCACCACCCGACCACCACATCTTCACAGTTTTCGACGTCAACGACAACTAGGGTTATATACGTGTGTGTTGTAGGTGTCGTGGGGAGAGAGGATTAAAGCCTCGTCATCTTCGCCGCTATTGCTGCTGCTCTTCATCCAGACGATGTCGAGCCACGAGAGAGATGAGACGAGAGTAAAGCTTTGGTCTTGTGGTGTTGGTTTTGGTGTTGGTATCGGTGAGGTGATGGTGTTGAAGGCTTGATGTAGGTGAGGTGGTGGTGTTGAAAGTGGTGGTGTCGGTGAGGTGTGGTGTCGATGAGGTGAGGTGAGGTGAGGTGAGGTGGTGTTGAAGGGCTGTGTTGGTGTGAAGAGGGATACCGGATTATATGGCAGGCCGTGAGTGTATTGTTGGTTTGGGTAATGGTGGGGTATTATAGTAAATTAACATTACTAATATTTCTTGAATATAATTGAATTAAATAATAAGGGGCAAATATGGCATGGGAAACTTCAGGGGTATCAATGTAACGCTGAGTGGCATTGACCCAAACCTCAGGGATGTCGGTGCAATTTACCCTAAAAAATAAAAAAATTTAAGGGGATAGAAGATCACACAATATGCTAGATGCACTCCTCCATTTAACCCATCCTTCCTTAATTCTATGATTAACGTCATCTCCAATTTCTCCTTAATTATGGATGATTGAACATGTTTTAAGTTTGTTATGTTATAAAATTTTGGTCAAATAAAAATTGCACTAAACCATTGTTATATGTGTCTGTATCATTTGGCCACTTCCTACATGATTCAACCTTTGAAGGTCTGCTCTTTAACTTGCTTTTTGATTGTTTTTTCCTTTTAGAATTATTTAGGGTTGAGATTAAGTATAAATTTTTTGCTTGATTCATTCTTTATCTCTTGTTGTAATAATTATGAGGAGACATACTCTCATTAGAATATCTTCAGATTTTTGTACATTGAACAATTTCAAATGCTTTTTTCCTCTTAATCATGTTCAACCTATTGCAGTTTGGCACAGCTTCTTTTGGAGCATCAGCTCATTATACTCGTCGCTTCTCCTCAAAGTCTCATGGGCGTATTGCAGGCAGATTTGGAAGGTATGTACTCTCTTTGCTGTTTGGATTAATTTTGTGAAAGTGATTTCATGATCATTATTTTTACTTGTAGCACTTCCATTTGAAAGCTGAAGTGTTACAGTTGCAAACCACATTTTCGGAAGGAAGGATAATAGAGGACTTAATTGATTAGTTTTGTCTGTTTGAGTTTTCTATTCTACTTCTATTTTATTTGGATTTTATGCATCTATACTGTTTTGTATTAAGTGTTAAGGAGACCGTAAATTTCAAACTGTTACTGAAAAGGATTCATACACAATTTGACTGGATACCTAATCGAAATGAAAAGCCTCATGTTAAGTTCCATGGCTCTTCTATATTGTACAAAGAAACTGGGAGAACTACTCATGTTGGCTTGTAAGTCACTTTGATCATTGTACAGCAAGGTGACACCTCTTTTGGATTGTTCTCAATTGGCAGCATAATTATTTATTTATTAAATGCGGACAAAAAATGAAACATATATGAAAGTACTAATAAATCCTTTTATTGAATTTTTTATTTTATTTTTACCAAAACCTGGTTGTATTAGAATATTGCAATCTCCTGTGCTTTGTCTTCACCTTATGCATCTGTTTGTTTGGCTCCAATGAGGATCGATGTGGCAACTCTTAATTATATACGTTCAATAATCAATTTGGATTTCTTAGTGATTTTTGTTTTTTTTACGACAGAGCTAATGAGGGAACACTCTTTGGTTAAAGTGTTACCCTTAAGGCCTTTGCCTTTTCATGCAAGTTGTTCTTTGACTAAGTATTCAAAGTTTGCCACTTATTTCAGATCATAGAAGTGCAGTTGTTCTCATGAGTCTTGCATTATCATGGTTTTGAGCGTACTCCATGGAAAAATACCCTATATGGCATAGTATTTTACCAAATATATTGATCAACTGTCATTGTGCCTATGTTCCTACAAAATTAGGCCTTTGCGCAGGTGGGAAAATTCTTTTGTGACTTCATTATCATTTTTGCAGCACTGATCTTGAGCTTGAAGTAGGAGGTGGAAGGAAAATATCCGACTTCAGCACCGTCCGCATGTTGTATTCAATAGGAATTCAGGTACTTGCTGCTATGTAGATGAAAAAGAATTTTTACGGCTTTTTTTTTTTCCTGAAAAAGAATTTTTACGTTTTTTTCCTCTATTATCTTTTTTGATATTTATGCTTGTTCCTTTATTATCTTTTCGTACTGTGATACAAAAATGCTGGTTTTCAAGAACCTGGAATGAGCCACATCTGCAGATCTGTTATAGTGTAGATGTTTAAAGCACAATCCAGAAGTATCGTGCTTTTGCTACCTTCTTTCATTATTTTTTCTTGCAATAATGCTTCTTTACTGATGTTTGATAGAAAAATTAGGAAGCTTGAGCTTGTTGCATGTGAAGTAGTCGGGCATGCCAATAAGACAATGACTTATGTCAGGCACTACAAGGATAATCAGACCAATGAGGTTCTCTGGAAATATTAGAAAAACATCAATGGTTCAATAATGTAAACGATTTTTTACAAATTCTATCAAAAATTGCCTTTAACCTGAAAATTGATTGGCCTCAAAGTGTTGAAAAAAAAAATTGGCAGGGGATTTTAGTTCATATTTCTGCAATTTTTGGCTTTCCTTATCTCACTCTTTTCTTCAGTTCATCTCAAAGTTAATCCCATAATATATATGTGCGCGCGTGCGCTCTCTTTTTATAACAGAAGGTGACTTACCCCTTTAGGGATAGAACTCCCTTCTGGTACCTGCAATCACCCCCACACCATAGGTATTGGGTAAACATGGGATGGAGGTTTAATGCCCCTAGGATTTGAACACAAGATCTTTGGGTGTGCTGAGAGTCTCTATGCCAACTCAATTACCCCGTGGTGGTTTTATATGCTTGTTTTATTAGTAGCATTGATTAGTTTTATGTGACCACCATATTTCCTTTGAGAGTGATCACAATGGCAAGACTGGTCTTGGTTTTTATCTTTCATGTGCTGAAAAGGTGATTGAGGTTCACTATTACTTGGTTGTTTACTTTTATAGTAAAATCTCCTGTCCATCAGCAAGCTAAAGTAATGCTATAAAAACTATCAGGTTCCGCTAAAAGTTGATAACAGGTATGAAATGTGTTTCTCTTATATCAAAGTTGTATTACCCCCATTGTTGCACTAATTTTGAAAGTGACTTTGCCACAGTGGTGAGCATGTGTTCTTTGTGCAAACTTGTAGTAGAAAAAGTTTTCTTTTGAAAGACAAAATTAGGAAAGGAATTCACAGTTTCCAGCAACCAATTTAGAGTTATGCCAGGATGATCTGCTATGGAGGTCTTCTACTTAATCAAACAATTAATAGAAGATTGTAGTTGTAACTTGTAATAGACTTAGAAAAGGCACATGAAGGTATATAATGTGGTGGGCTTTACAATGAAAATGGATCCCTATGAAAGTTACAAATCTTATTTAGAATATGTATAAAGAGACAAAGACTAGAAGAGGTGTCACCCACCACTACCCATATGAGTGCATACTCTACGGTAAGGGATCCAGGATCTGAAAAAATATGCTACGAGGAGGCAAGCAATTGGCAATCCTGGTCCTTCTGGCTTCTGGGTACAAGTTTCCATGTTTACAGATGAGTTTCTATTACTTGATAACCCATAATTCCTATAATAACATTTTCTGATTATTATTTGGTGCAAAAAACATTTGGTCGTAAAGGGCAATTATCCATTTCTGCACGGATAATATTATCTGCAAATAAAGAGGAGATCTAGGGTGTCATAAATAAACCTGTGGAGTTTTAGAGGATTATTATACATCTAATAGTTGTAGAACTTATTTAGGACTATCATTGATGTTCTGCTTCAATGATAGGTGATTTGGTTGGATTGTCCATGAAACCATTCAAGGGAAGTCCTTCACTTAAACTTTTTGGTGGGGTCCACTCCTGTAGGGAGCCTGTTAAAGAAATGGTGACGAATTCTACATTAGCATCAACAGGGGAAAATAAGTACTTTTTAGGATCCATACGGTCCATACCTCAGTTTATCATTCATATAGTGCTTTAATTGACGAATGATATTAATTTGAATGAGGCAAAATGAAGCTTTCTAGGCTTTTCTTCTCTAGCCTCTTTTTATATTTTTTAGAATGCTTTTAATGATGTTATTGCTTTGACATTATTGGTTGCAGTTGTGTTGTTTATTGATCTTCATTAGAATTATTGAGTTGGAAGGCTTTATTATTCGATTTGAAAATAAGCTTATTTAGTTTAAGGCTTCCTTTGTGCGTTCTTTGAAAAATTCAGCCTATTTTATCTCACTTCAGAAAAAGCTTATTTAACCTTGGAATTGATTTACCTAAAAGTCTGAAACAAAATTTGGCAGTGGATTTCAGTTCATAGTTCTGCAATATTTGGCTTTCCTTAGACACTCTTTCCTTCAGTTCATCTCAAAGTTCTTAGGGATAGGATTCCCTTCTGATACCTGCAATCACCCGTTACACCAAAGGTATTTGGTAAACACAGGGTGGAGGCTTAATGCCCCCAGGGTTTGAACACAATATCTTTGGGTTGTGCTGAGAGTCTCTATGCTATCTCAATTACCCTGACGGGTTTATATATGCTTGTTTTATAATTAGGCATTGATTAATTTTCTGCGAGCACTATATTTCCTTTGAGAGTCATCACAATGTTTTGACTGGTCTTGGTTTCAAGCTTTGATTTGCTGAAAAGTCATAGTTTAGTGATTGAGGATTACCCTGTTATTGCTACTTGGTTGTTTCAATTTTTGTAGTAAGAACTTCCTCTGCATCGGTATGCAAGTAGTGGCTACACAAACTAACCGGTTCCGCTAAAAGTCCATAACAGGGATGGTAATTTTCCCTTTTATCTCAAAGTGAAATTACCACTATTGTTGCACTAAGTTTGAAAGTGACTTTGCCACATTGGTGAGTATGTATTCTCTGTGCAAATTTGTAGAAGGAAAAAGTTTTATTTTGAAAGACAAAATTAGGAAAGAAATATACATTTTCTGATAACCAATTTGGATTTATGCCAGGATGATCTTCTATGGAGGTCTTCTACTTGATCAAACAATTAATAGAAGATTGTAGATGTAATAGACTTAGAAAATGCTTATGATAGAGTTTCAAAGGATATAATTTGGTGTGGTTTACAATGAAAATGGGTCCCTGTGAAACTTATGGAGCTTATTTAGAATATGAATAATGAGACAAAGACTAGAAGACGCATCATCCACCACTACCCACGTGAATACATACTATATAGTGAGCGATCCAAGATCTGCAAAAATATGCCACAAGGAGGCAAGCAATTGGCAATTTTGGATACAAGATTCCGTGGTTACAGATAAGCCTCTATTCCTTGATAACCCATAAGTTCCTATAACAACATTTTCTGATCATTAGTTGGTGCAAGAAACAATTTGGTCCTAAAGGGAAATGATCCATTTCTGCATGGATAATATTATCTGCAAATAAAGAGGTGATCTAGGGTGACATATTGAAACCTGTGGATGTTTAGAGGATTGTTATGCATCTTATAGTTGTAGAATTGTTTAGAACTATCATTGCGGTACTATCATTGAAGTACTTCTTCCATGATGGGTGATTTGGTTGGATCATCCACCAAACCATTCAAGGGAAGTCCTTGACTTGAAGTTTATTTATGGTGATGGTCTACTCCTGTAGGGAGCCTGTTAAAGAAGTGGTAATAACATTATCCTAAAGTAGCACCAAAACAGGAAGAAAAAAAAAAAGTACTTTTTAGGATCCCTACCTCAGTTACCATTCATATAGTGCTTTAATTGACTAATGATTTTATGTGAATGAGGCAAAGTGAAGCTTTTTAGGCCTTTCTTCTCTAGTTTTTCTTTAGAATGCTTTTAAAAACCTTATTGCTTTGACAGTATTGGTTGCAGTAGTGTTGTGCATTGATCCTCCTTAAAACTTATTGAGTTGGAAGCCTTTTTTATTCAATTTGAAAAGTAAGCTTATTTAGTTCAACACTTCCTTTGTGAGTTCTTTGAAACATTCAGCCTAGATTAAATTTCCTTGATCAGTTGTTATTATCCGGGAATGTATAATGCTACATTTCATGTTCTGATTCTTTATTCAGGTATTATTATCAGAATCTCAGTTTCCTTTTTCTGCTTGTATTTCACTCATTTGCCAAGTTATAGTTTATTTGCAGTACTTTTTGTGTTGTGTGTTTGCTGTTTCTCACATTGTTCTTTTGGTAGGGTATCTTTTGGAAATTTGAATTACATCGCGGGGGTCAGAAGTTGATCATTCCCGTAAGTGCAATCTCACCCCTTTACTTGCATGCTCATCCCTTATTTTTGGCATGAATTGGCATGTTTTGACTTTTATTTGACCTTTTCCATAAATGTCTTCTTTATATGCAATTTTACTGTTTTGGTTCAAATATCTTCCTTGAAAACTTTTGTTTTCAAGTTTCTGTTTCTTTTGGCCTCTGCCTCGGATGTCATGTCTATTTGTTCTCTTCTTTTTTTTCCCAAATAAAATATCTCAATTTGTCTCACCAAAGGACATTCAGCAGACTTGTGCATCTATGTGGTAGGAATTAACAATCTAAAAATTATCAGGAAGTTTTAATAACTATTATGAGACACATTATTTTGCAATTTGTTTTAGTTGTAGCTCTAAACGCTTGAGCAATCATTGAGTATGCCATCTATCTTATATTCAAATTAGGTGTCTAGTTCATATGAGGGACATGCTTAGGCGTGACTGTGGGTGACACTCTGTTATTTTAAACTTCTACATATAAATATCCTTGTTTTGTTTTCATTTCTCTTCATGATCACGTGAACCCATATATGGGTAGTAATTATATAAAAAAGGTTTTGTTGGTCTTGCTAATGCTAGGTGTCTGATAATATTTTCATCGTATGTAAAAAGGGGACACAGAGAGAGAGAGAGAGATAATCTGAGTTCTGTTAACATCATTCTGTGACTATGTTTTCCGGGTATTTGATATGTTGCTGATGGGCTATTTCATGCAGATTTTGATTTCAAGACATTGGGACGTTATGGTTGCAACTGGAGCATTCGTTATTCCAACGTCACTTTACTTTTTTCTAAAGGTTGTAACAGAAATCTAACTCTTATTTTATCCATTGTTTTCTTCTCTCTCTTTTTTTTTGGCATTTATTAGTCTGTCAATCATGAAGATGTGAACTAGAATCATTCTCTTTTTAGTTCTTCTTAAGGTGAACAATGAAATACACTGAAACAGTGCCCAGTTATATAAGATAAACAAAAAAGAAAAGAAAAAAAAGGTCATAACCCAGTGAGGTGCCAACTTTAATTTTAGGGCTGGGAGGGGTGGACTGGATACAGACTTAACCTTTGACATTATATGCACAAAGTGGTTGCTATCGGGATACAGAAATGTTTTTATGCGATGCTATCATATTTTAGTTTGCTTTATCACAATTTGTGTTATCTTTCTGCCCATCAACATGCACTTACTGAAAGTGGCTTTGGAATTCTGACTAGGAAGCATCTTTATAGTCTAGAAATTGGTTTAGCAGGGTTCAAAAGTAGCCCATCACTGATCACAACTTTGGGGCTTGTATCTCATGGAGAGTAGATCAGGGTACACCACTTTGTATGCTTCACCCCAATTTTTTTGGGCCAAATTAGCATCATCAAATGGCTTTCGACAATCTGGCAGCATTTGCCAGTTCTATCTTCACTCTGAAGAACTTGTTAGTACGAGTAGATGTGGATATTTGCTTGTATCAGCTTTATGTTGCCATATGGATCAGATCTCTGCAGTAGGACCCTCTAAGTTGGGTTTAGTTCTGCTTGTGATGAAAGATGACTTGTCGAGTTCTTCATCTCCTATCTGTACATGCTTGAGATCTTTCTTTGTACTATTTACCATCTCTGTAGTTATAGGCCAGTGATTTCATTATTTGATTCCTCTTAGTTTCTCATCAATTCTTCAATTTATGACTCCATCGATCTGTATGGTGTAACAGAATTCTCTCTTGTTAAGAGTTTGTAAGTTGGTCAATTATCTTTTACTAGGCTTACACTAGTTCTGTTAATTCTGTTCATATCATATGCTTGCAGGCATTCATTCTCAAACCTTATTTCCTTAAAAGGGAAAAGCAGAAGTCATTGGAGAAGATGGAAAGAACATCAGCTCAGGTATGTGATATCCACACGAGTGAATTAGGTTGGTGCAATTTTTGTACTTCCAGTGCCTTTTATTTTTATTTATTTTTTTGCTTTTGTTGTTGTTGTTTTTTGAGGTAGATGATACTCCTTAATCTACATGTTTCTGATATTGTAGATTGACAAAGTTTGTCTTGCATGGGCCTACTTACTTGCATGAACATTGAATATCCATAGAAGATGCAGAATCCAAATATATGTCTTACCTTTTTATTCATCGCTAGAGTTACAATTAAAAGAAATTAAATTTTTGGACGCACTGTCTATGAGCTCATATTTCATATTTTTGGTTAATAGCTGATAATGGATCTATGGATGTGTGATTATGTATTTATTTACTATTTATACGTCCAAATATTTCTTAGCTCATTCCAAATAGTTGGGGCAAGGTTTTTTTAAGTGAATTTATACACAAATGCTTCTAAAGAACCAGAGGAATAAGGGTTCTACCAGCTAGACAACCGGTATCCTGTGTTACCCAAACTTGCCACTTTGCTGTAGAGTACCTGTATCAACTCGAACGAGGCGGACTTGGGTTCTGGACACGGGCCAGACACGGAAAACCCGTTATGGTTGACCAATGAACTGGAAGTTATGGTTGACCAATGAACTGGAATATAAGTTTTAAATTTTGTACTACATCTAGCCTTAAAGTGAACTGGAACATGAGTTTTAAAGTTAGCATGCTTTTTGACTTTCTTCACTTTGCAGTACATCATACAGTTCTTGTTAAACTTGCTACTACATCTAGCCTTGGAAGAACCGTTATAGTTTACCAATAACCGGGGTGCTTAGTCTCATTGCTACTTAAGTTGCATCAGGTAGTTCCTCTTGTTTGTGGGAACAGGAGCTTTGGGATGTTGCAGTGTCAATTTTTGTTGGCATTTTTATTCTGATAGCCGAGTGTGTATGTGTGATGATGATGATGACATTGAAAACTGATGTCTGCAATTGTATCTTGCATCATGTCGTGTCTCCTTGCTGATTTTTAGCTGTTTAGCTTGTTTTCTTCGTTGACCGCTTCCAAGCATGTGAGGCATTCCTCTTTTATTTTTGAATTTTTTAGAGTATTATTTCCATGTTTATAGGTTCGAGAGGCAAGAGCAGCAGCTGAGAAATCTCAACAGTTGTTACAAAATGTGGCCATCCGGAAGAGGAATGTGCAAATAGAAAGGAATGGACTGGAAATCACAAAAGCAGTATATGGAAATCATAAAGCTTTGAAGAAAAGAGACGAATCAGGAGATGTACAAGATGTAATAGCTTCACAAATAATTGATGTCACTCTACCTCTAAACTTTCTGGTTAATGATTCTGGCCAACTCAAGGTAACGTTTCTTCTATAGCCTGTTTTTCATAATTTCTTGAATACATTTCGAACCTGTTGGCAGGAACCATAGTGCAGTGCTACCATTATTCTAACGTTGGTTTGCCAATCAAATGACCTTTATACTTTGCCCCTGAATACTAGATATCCTGTATATTTTGTATATATATATTTTTTCCTAGTTGGCACTCACACACACTTGTCTCCTCTAAAACTTGAACCCCTGACCTCCTTTTGGGAAGTAAGAGGTTGATACTGCTAGGCCACTGGCCCGTTGGTTATATTTTGTATTCTCTAATAGTTGGCTTTCTATATGTTGGTGCAGCTTCACGAAGGTGTAAAGAAGTCGGGCATTATGGGCTTTTGTGATCCTTGTCCAGGAGAACCTAAGCAGCTGCTTGTAGAATACACCTACGGTGGTGAGAGATACGAGGTATAGCAGTTCCCCCCGTATTTTCACATCTTATACAAGTCTATTCTGAGTGTTGATTAAAATTTACTCGACTTATACAGGTGGTGGTTGATGATCTCCAAGGGTTGTTAATACCCCAGAAAGCTCACAGACTCTGAATACAGGCCAAAGCACTGAAATGGAACCTTGGTCACCTCTTTCAATTTTGCATGCATTATCATGCTTTGGAGGTACCTTAGCTAGAATCATTTTTCCGGGTAACATTATCTTGTGTTAGATCATTATATATATCATGGGAATTGGGATAAATAATTGTGCTTTATGGGTATAATCAATTTTGATATCAATGAGAGTAAAAGCAATTTTTTTGTACTTGTTTCGTAGTCATAAACCAGGAAAATTGCTGACATTTTACATGGAGTCAGTTAATTTCAATTTTGTTATGGAATGCACATCTAGATCTTGAAGCGACTGATGTGCAATTCAAAATCAGAATCTGAACTGTCACGCCCCAAAATCTTAAGTCTCGTATTAAAATTTGGCATGACTTTCTTTACATAACCACAACTTTACAAAATAAATAAATAAAGAAGTAGATGTAAATCTCCCTCTAATTTATTAAATTAGTACAACCATAATAATAATCGATATCATAAAAAATAATCCATGATAACTGGACAAACTGAAATAAATCTCAAAAAATATCATCATTATTATTATAGTGATCCCAACAAGGAGAAAAAATTGAACTAAACTAAAGAATACAGAAAGTTAAAATCCCTCTCCATCATGTGGTTAATAAGCGCTCATTAGAACCAAGGCCATAATAAATGGTAGTTCACTCTCGAATAGGCAGGTCCTTAACTATACCCAAAATATCATCATAGGTCAATCCCACTAATACAACTCATCCATTAAATAAAGATCATTAATAATCAATAATTCCAACTCATAACCTCATACTTTAGACTAACCCTTAATCATTTAGTAATCAAACTAATTAAAAACTAATTAAAAGGGACGCAGTAATCAACCAATTAATGTAATCATACCTGAAAATCCCACTTTCCTTAAGACATCTATCTAAGCTTACTGATGAAGGGTTTATAATTACAAACACAGGTATATATATATATATATATATATATATATTGATCACCAAGCTCATACACGTGTTAATAGTTAATAGATTATATTACTGATACATAGATACCCACATATCCATCTCTTTAGTAAATCAATTACTTAACCCAAACTAAGACATTTTTAATTTATGTTATTTACTATTAATATATATATATATATATATATATATATATATATATATATAATTCAAGTGCTTGCTTGTACATAAAGGTTTCCAGTTCTATTATATACAAATTAAATTTAAGAATTGAAGATTCAGTCTCTTGTCTAATCCAATTCCATTAATTAAATACAGTAACCAATTAATTAAGCAAGAGTCCTTTAAATTGATACTGCTAACTAAGCAAAACTCATAATAAATAAATATATCTTGATACATATAGCAACACAATTCCATCCAAGAAAACATGGATACCCGAACCTATATATATATATAGTCGGTATACAAGTGATCTTATTGTCACGGCTTAGAGTTTCAGCACCACTTTAACTGTTCCCCGTCCTTCTCAGCGTCTGCGTGTTGCCTGCGTGGCACAACCTCCATAGGTGGGGCGTGACATTATGCTCTTATAAATCAAGTCACAAATAATGGTTTCCATTACTTGTGGTCAGTAATTTTGTAATCCAGTAGCAGTACAATTCAACACATGTGAGTACTTTCTATCAACATTCATTCAATCTGAATAATTAAGCGTGGACAAAAACAATATTCTAAGTGCTCCAATTAAGTGCACGTGGGTTTACATATATTAGAACCTATATGAATGTGTGTGTGTATATATATATATATATATATATATATATATATAGATACAACTTAATTACATCTATCAATTCATTTTACATTTGATTAGAATACTAAACAGTAACTCGACAATCACATAAAAATCTGCTCATCAAGTTCATGATTTCAATCAAATAATTGTCTAAAATTTGTTAGAACATGATAGATCAATTCCCTAAGAATTTATTTTTTTAATAAATCAAGTTGTAAATATATATAAAAGTATAAAGTAAGATTAACTTGTCTGGAAATTGCTAATATTTCCTTTTTGCAAATGCCCAATCACCATCCCTTTTTCCTGCTATTGCATAAGGCACAAAGTCAAATCTCTCTCTCTCTCTCTCCCTTTTTCATAGAATATCCTATATATTCTCTTACTACTGATATTACGAGTAATATATAAAAAGAGTTATAAATAGTAGTTGAGATAATTTAGGATTCCCTTTAAATTTAAAAGACAATCCCTTATCTCTAATATTTCATTAATTAAATAAAAATACAGATATATATAAATATAATTATACATAAATTACGGGTAATTACACTACTTTGGGCTTCTCTAAAGTTTTGACCTAGTCAAAATTCCCAGCCGGGAGATGGTAGAAGAATGGTGGCAATGACACCATAATTCTGTTTGTATTTGCATGTATGAATAAGTGTATGTAATAATAATTCATTTTTACTAAATTCTATTATTTATTTAGTTTGTATGGGGTTTGTAAATGCTTGGCGATGAAGTTCTTTACCATGCTGTTTGAAACGAAGCAGTACGCTATATATACATTCGTGATAGCAACTTCAATAAATAATAAAATTTTGAAAAAAATAAAAATAAATAATTTAATAAAAATAGTTTTAAGTCAAACCTAAGTCAAATTTAACTTATGTTATTTAGGAATTTTTTTTTTTTTTTTTTTTTAACTTAAATTGCATAAAACGGGAGCAAAGGATTGTGTGAGTTTTTTTTTTTTATATTTTATTACGTCTTATAACTTTTTTCTTCATCAGTAATAAGTTTGAAAATTGTCAAAAAATTTATATTTAAATAAAGAACAATGCTATTCAAACTTAATAATTTTTGATAAAAAAATAAACACGATTTGTAAATAAACCGAGTTCATACCATCCATGAACTTGATGTTAAGTCATCCAATCATATTAAACCATCGAACCATTATTGGCCCAGGATTCTATTTTATTAACCATGTTGGATTGCTAACATCCATTACAACCCAAGTAATAAGTTGTTGATCACTGCAATGCAGATTACATAATATCTTGTAAAAATTGATAATAAATCAAGGTATGTGACTGAACTACTTAATCGTACAATGGAGAGATTATGGGGAAAAAAATATTCTAATTGGGGGGGGGGGGGTTAATCTCTGACCCAAAAATACTGCAAGTTTGAGATTTTAAACGCATTAAAAATAAATTTCACTATGCAATATTACTCATTATGCCAAGAAGAGAGAGGCATTCCCACTCTTGAATTTTGTAAAATCGTGTTAACAACTTAAAATAAATAATGCATCAAGTCTCATAATTGATTTCTACGAGGTATAAACAATTCTTTGAAAAAAAAAAAAAAAAAAATTCCACTTCAAGAGCCTAGAGAGGGCCATGGTTTGCAAGCCAAACTCGAGCTCAAGAAACTTTGGACTCAGTTTGGTCCTTTGAAAATGGAGCATTAAAAGTATTCGGGTACGTTCGGCTACATGAAATTGGAGCATTAGAATTGTAATTTATGGAATTTGAGAAAAACAACTAAGAAAATTGAACAAATTTTTTTTCAAATTCTACCAATTTTAATTCCAAAACTCCAATTCCATTCAACCAAACACGCCCTTATGATATAGCTGAAGTTAAAAATGAACCAAGTGAACTCAAGTTTAAGCCTTTTCGGTCTTTGTTTGGTTGTATAGGTTTACTTCAGGCTTGCATGAGCTCCAAAGTTGAGCGTGAGTTTTGAGGTTAATTGTTCAGGTTTTTGAGAATTTTTTTAAAAATATATATATATATACATATCCATTAATTTTTGATATTTTATTACGTCTTATAACTTTCTCCTTCATCAATAATATAGGTTTGAAAATTGTCAAAAAAAATATATATATTTAAATAAAGGACAAGGATAATGGAGTGTTTCTTATACGCCGAATTATTGTTTGAGACCCAAGTTTGTATTTTATCATCCATCCAATCCCTTTAATTGAAGAATCAAGTTGTGATTTTTAATAGAGGCTTAACTTTCTAACATGCATAATTGCAATTAAAAAGAAGAAAACCGTGGGCATTTGTAATAAGTTGATTGAGATAGTACTAACGTTATTTGGGATAGTAATAAGTAGATTTAGAATCGGAAAAAGTTTAATTCAAAATTTATCCTTGAGATAGTACTAACGTTATTTGGGATAGTAATAAGTAGATTTAGAATCGGAGAAAGTTTAATTCAATTTATCCTTGAGATAGTACTAACGTTATTTGGGATAGTAATAAGTAGATTTAGAATTGGAGAAAGTTTAATTCAAAATTTATCCTAAATTTTTTCCAAAGGTTCTAATCCCAAATTCGAGGTGCCCAATATAGCATAAGACATTTCTTGCAAGCAATTCTAGGTCTAATCCTTAACCTTAAAGTAGTTGGTTATCTGATGAAAAAAATTGTTGGAATCAAAAACAGATACAGATTACATCATATTTGGTAAAAATTGATAATAAATCTAGGTAAGGCATGTGATTGAAGTACTTCATGGTACAATGGAGAGATTATGAAAAAAAGAAAATTCTGCATTGTAAATTCTATTGGGGAGTTAAATCTCTAACCCAAAAATATAGTAAGTTTGAGCTTTTACATGCATTAAAAATAAAATTCACGATACAATATTATACCGTTTTGCTATGAAAATGTAAATAAATATATTTTGGACACCAAAAATAAAAAGTCCAAATTATGATACCGTGATATTGCCTATTTGGGTCATGAGAAAGCATAATTAACGACGAGTTCACCGGTTGATGGGTCGAACGACGCTTCAATTTCTGCTGAACAGCATTCACCTATACTTGATTCGTGAATCCCGACTGCCACAGGCTTGGTCAAGAACTTCAGTCCTTGCTTCCAATATCTTTGATCTGAACATAAATCGAGCTTATTAGAAGTTGAACATAAATAGAATCAAGGTCATGTACTGATCCAGTAAAGGTTGAACTTCGCAAATGGGGAATTACAATAATTTTTAAACTAATTAAGACGGCGTAACTAAGAGGGTTTAAAGTAGCAAGAACTACGTCAAGAACTCGGTTATTCCCTCCAGCATGTAACGATAAAACTAAATGCTAAATATACCTGGTCCTGTTGATAGCACAACGGAATTTTCAGCATCCATCACCCAGTCAATCCAAAGCGCAAAGCCATGGCATGTCCCCAGCTCTTTAAATTTAACCTGCAGTAAAAATGTTATTTGCAAGTTCATCACATTCGATACCTTGCGTGGCAGTCCACAATGTCCAACAAGCATGTTCAAGTGCGCAATGCCACTTCGCCTACAAAGTGCACATTATAATACCTGGGCATTTCCAGAGCAGGGGCTTATTGGCTTGGTGAAATCAAATTCCATGACATTAAATCTCTCACTAAGTTCCTGAAATGAATTCAAAACAATTGTAATTGATATACCTGTCACTTCATCTTCTTTCAAATTAGTCTACACTCTGCAAAACATAGATTCATTACCTTAATCTCCCCACACCGCCAGATGAAAAAAGGGAGACAGGAACTCTCCGTTGATGCAGGTAAATCACCACATGCCCCTAAAGTGGCATTGACAACCGAATGGTCAAAACCTTCAATTTCTTTTAGGGAGCGACGGCTTTTCCAAAGGTCCTATAAAAAAAAGTTTGCAACCTTAAATTTAGGATTCATACAACATAATGAAATACTTGGTTCAAACCAATAGATATAACATGGACTCACCGGGAAGGACATAGCACAGGCCTTCAATATTCCTTTACAAGGCATTATCAGTGCATCATTAGATAAGATTTGGTCCAGCGTAGTTCGCTGCTTCCTTAAATCCATTACAAAGTGAAAGAATAAATAGGTAAGTCAGAACTTAATTACAAAATAGCAAGCAAGAGTAATCAACATACTTTAGTGGACCACTCATACGGAACATTGTGTAAAGTTCATCATATTATGTGAAGATGCATCCATTCAGGAAGAGTTACACCTTAATCCGTCACACAGAAACTAATGGAAGCTTTAAGATGATTTGTGTTTGTGAATTGTGACAGTAAAGTTTGACTAACACTTGACATATAGTGTCCACAGATATGTTCCCGTTATATATAGTAAACCAAAGTGACTATCCGACAACTTATTGATTTGATAAGCAATTCATTGCACTCCCAATTGCAGATAATCAAAATAATTTTCCACTTCAACAACATTTTTGAGTTATACTAAAAAAATTGAACACTTTCAACCCAATGAACCCACCAAGAAAAGAAAAAAAAAAAAAGAAAAAGAAAAAAAAAGGAGGTTTTTAAATACTTGTAATAAAAGAATTCTGGTACAAAGCAAAAATGGTTTCCTCAGCTCTTTCATATCCTGCACTGAATTTTCAGTAATATCCAAGACTAACCCAGTTAAAACTCCTAGACAAAATACATTAAATCCAACTTATTTGATTCAAATATGCATAAAATATTTCTAAATACCATGTCCTAATGAGATGAGAATAAAAAATAAATATTAATTTTTTATTTTTTCTTTTGTTTTTTCTCTTTTTCCGTAAGGGTAAAAGAAGCAAATGTAATACATCACTCATGATGAAAATTATCAGATTAACTTAGAAATAAGGTAATGAACAAAGAAAACAAAATTTTGATGCTCAAATAATGACAAACTATATAAGCAAATGAAAATGGTGCTATTTACCAAAACCGGAGGTTCTGCCATGGAAGCATGTTTTCGTTTCCATAATAGAATGGTTCTGCTATCAACAGGTCAACCTGCAGAGAAAAATATGAAAATCCCACGTGTTTACAAAGATTTGTTGTTGGTCTGCAGCATCTTGATTTAATGACTTCCATAAAGATAAACCAAAAAAAAAGGAGAAATTTTATGTTCAAGCACTGGGTTAATTGAAAGTCAAAGTAGCATGAAACTGCATGGATATTTTTTTCCCCTTGGCAAAAAAACTCACACCCCCACATGCCACTACGGAACTTGAACCCTCAAAACCTCCCACTTTGGGAGATGGAGGAGATACCACTAAGCTACACCACCTTTGGTAAACTGCATGGATATTAGCTATTGATGATTTGGAAACTTACAATAACCTTTGGCTCAATTATCAAATACTGCAACATTAGAGACCTTAAAATCTAGATCATAAAATCAGGTTGGTACACAAGTTTAAAATAACCTTTTTATGACGAGTATCATGCATAGTCAAGTGGACTTTCCTCCTATCTAGAACTTCTACTCGATCCATTGAATAGCCATTTGCAACAGCAACAGCTTGTAAATATTGGGCACCCTTCTCGCGCAGCCCAGGGAACAATGATATTACATGTGATGTTTTGGAAAGATGGGCAACAGCAGTTGTTAAGAAGAGACTGTCATCTGCAACAACACATAAGGAGCAATTTTTTTGCTGCAACTGCAAATAAAAAAAGTAAAATTAATAAACTAAAGGGGTGATACGCTAAATGAAAAGGAAAAGGGGCAAAGCAATATAAACAATGTAGTAGTGTAATTGAAAAATCTCAAAGTACGGTACAGGCCTAATATAGATGATAAAAGATGTGAGCCAATTTAGATGGTTTCTATTATCAAGCACGGATACAAAACCAATGCAAGCACCTAAGGATCAATGAAACAACTGATTAAAATTTTGAGGCATTTAATAGGGGTCAAAGTCAAACATCGAGAGAATCATGGATGTTGCCCTTACTGAAGGACTAACAGAGCATAATTTGTTGGCCGTCACTTGCTTCAGATAGATTAGATAGGATAAAGAATACGATAAAGAATAAAATGATGATAATAAAGCACCATTTTTTAAGAAATGGCATAGATAGCATGACATGTATAAAAAAATATGTATATATATCTGCAACTTTAAGGAAAGGCATTATTTTACAAATTAAATCTTGCATCTCTAGCACAGAATGGCCACGAAAGAGAAGAATAACTTTGTCCAGTCGGTGTACAAGAGAATACACATTAAAAGACCAAAAATGCAAGTGACCAAAAGGAATAGTTAACACACAAAACCTTTTCTTCTGCAACTTTTGAACAAAGAACTTCATGGAAACATATTATTATTCTGGCAGCAAGAGGAGTATGGCACTCAATATTTACATATTACAATACCTGAGAAGCCTGTTGACCAAATTTGAGAATTTACACAGTTATAAGCATCCTTGCAATATATTAAAATTAAGTATGGTTCGTCCTGGCGCGGAAATATAAAGCAGTATTCTCAAAAATCCTTTTTTTAATAGATTGTCAGGCATGAATGATATGATAGAACAGGATTTACACTATAAAGAAAAAGGGCAATCACAAAACAGATCCAGCATTCTTATTCTGGCCGAAAGCAATAGTAAGATACATAATCAGTATCCTGGCACCATGAAATTGTGAAATCTCCATAATGGTCTTGCCTTTAGAAAGCAAATATTTTAGGTGTACAAGTTTCAGGAAAACCAAAACCACACATTAACATCAAAGAAAGCAAATATTTTTTATCAGTCTTCATTTACAAACTCTCATTTTTACAAGGAAGTAGGCCACATAATTATCATTAAGCAGGCAATATGGATACAGAAGGATGCCAAATGTATTGTTTTATTAGCTTCTTAGCAAGCTGAGACTGAGTTTTACAATGGAACATTAAATTAGCTAAGTAGGCATGAAAAGAAAATAATTTTATTGGTGTGGCAAAAAATTTCAAAGCCGAGCACAATTTTCATTTTTTGTCAATTATTTTTGGGTAATTTCACAGGATAAATAGAGCACCCTGATACATGATGGATATTATGCATTTGCGCGTGCGTGCGAGCGCGTGTGTGAGAGTGAGAGAGAGAGAGAGAGAGATCTTACAACACTTTTTATGGCTCTTAACATGGAACATCTCCAACTGCTGTTTCCATATATTGCAATTCTTTCTGGTGATAAAAAGAGTTGACAATCTTGAGCACAATAGTCATGCTGCCCAATCTCTGATCCCCAGGCTTGTTTCTTGAGATTGTAAGAAACACTAATATCAGTATGACTAGCATATAAGTGAATGTCTTCATCCTTGGATACAGACAAACCTTTCCCTGGGATGAACCAGACACATTGTTTCCAATGGTCACACCAATCCCCAGCACCTAGAGAAGCATCAAAATAAAGCTATAAAATGGAAAGGAATAGCATAAAACACAATTCTTGTATTATTTAGTATGAAATTACCAAGTCTGAGGCAAAGGATCTTAAACAGATGATCTCTATTTAGTTCAGCATTTACTTGTTCAAGAATTGAAAATGTTATGTAAAAGTATGCGTATATTTTCTAACGATGAATATAGTATCTTTATGAAAAATGCCTTTTGGGTTAAATTCTAGCATAAAATATGCATTAACATATGAGTGTCAATGATCTAAGTTCCAATTAAATTACTTCAGATGCCATTAAAAACACATTAGTAAGCGTCTCATTATTGTCATCTGCGTTAATTCCTTCATTAGGTTACTTCAAAAGATACTTTGAGTATACGATAATCAGACAAATTAACATAAAATGCCTCAACTCACTAGGAAATGATGAGTGCAGGTCTTTCATGTTAAAAGGGTGACAAACCCATTTTGGGCTGGTGGAGTAAAAGATTATCCCTTCAGAATCAAGCTGAAGTATCCACCTGAAAAAGAAACCAAATACTGGCATAATCCTCCTAAAAAATTTTGTGACAGAAATAAGTGTAAGTGTGCAAAACATATACCATGAGACAACAGCATGAACTGTACCATCATTAATTGCCTTAATGCATAGGTCAGCTTCCCCATGACTCTCTGGCCTTCTCCAAAAGTCAAATTCAAAAATTTTGAAGGGCTCTGAAAGCTGGGTGAATACTAAACTGAGTAGAAACAAACAGCCTTTCTAAGTAAGTTTTTCTTAAAATGTAAATAATGTCTCACCAGTTTAATTTTTTCTTTTATTGCATCACAATGCATGGAGTACTGTTGAGGTTTAATGCATAAAATAGTTTCCATCCCCGTTGGGGTAAGATGAATGTCATCCGATGCTTTTGTTTCATTATTATATAAATCATGCAGCTTCCACAAATATGCGCTTTCAACCAGCTGAGCAGACAACATGAGAAAAGCAGAAAGAACAACACTGTATTAATGTGAGCACTGAAATTATTAAAGAAAGCCTTTGCCAACCCAAACAGATTAGAATCAAGTTAACACAGTGAAAAACTAACAAAGACAAATATCAGGCATCATAAGATGGACTGTGAAAAAGTTAAAAGGAACATGCAACTCAAGGATAAAAATGAGCACATAGAAACAACAAAGGTTCTCCATGGAAGTACAAAATTTTTGTTCGATGGTATATATGGGTTGGTCCATTCATGAAAATGCACCTAGAATGCTAAAGAGGAGGATGGTCAGGGAAGCAAATTATCAGTATCTTACAAGTGAAAGTAGATAAAGAAATTCAAATATGACATTTTACCTAAAACACTTGCAAAGAAAACAAGGAAAGTAAGCTATAAACATCTTAGAAATTGAGGAAGAAAAAGAATAACGAAAGAACAACTGAACACTTGGCAATAAAACATAAAGATTATAGTAGGTCTGCTCAAACACCTGGCCATAGATTGTTGCTCGGTATGGTACTGTTTGCGGATTTTTCACCAATAGCTTGTCATGTGCATGCTGTAAAGTTGGAATCAATCCTTCGCCCAACAGCTCTGAGTCTAGTATCTCACTGACCTGCATTTAGAATTTGACATTTAATATAATAAAGACAACGAATCGAATTCAGTAGCATATCCCTATGCATATATACTACTACAAAGTTTTTACATGAGAATGAGAATCTGCACACAAAAGCATAAAGGCCATGGATGTTCAGTGATGCTCACCCGTAAGGCCTTGCAAGCAATAGCATGCAATTGCCAAATATTTCATCAAACAAATAGCCATAAGCATTCTCCATGAGATATAGGACAATAAGAAAATTAGCTATTCCGACCCTTGGAGTTTATTTTCTTCATGCAACATACTTTTTTCTTGCTTTTCGGATTCTAAATTACACTCTTCACTACATTCAACTCCATATCCATTATAGATGTATCATGTAACCAGGACATTTATCACCTTATCTATCTATCTTAAGCAACGTTTATAAATTGAAATAAAATAACAAAAGTAAACAACAAAGACGCCAAGTTTTATGCAGGTGTGAAAAAAGAACTTATACTCACAAGAACATCCGCACGTGAAGTAATATCCATGCCTACTTCTAGCTCATCAGACCGCTTGTTGATAACACGTACTTTCCTTCCCATACCATTGTGATGCAAAACTTTCCGCATCAACTTCAGCATAGGAAGATATGACTCACATGCTGTGACCCTCCCCTCAGAACTCGAACACGTTGTTGAGTCGCCAGAGCCCATAGCCCGCGCAGCCATCATTGACAACAAGCCAGTTCCAGCACTGCAAAATTAACTATCATATCATGATATAGAAAAAACCAACTATTTGCATACCTTCATTAACAAAATCAAAATTTAACACTGTATTGACATTTTGACTACGGTCACTGAATGAAACTGCCCAAAGCATTTTGAAATAATTATGATAACTAACATTACCAATCATATAGTTTAACTTCATTCATATATAATTTTACCCTTGCTTTATTGAATTTTGGGTGCAATAATTATGAATCAGTTAAACAAGTTTTAAATTTTGATTCTTTATTTTACCAATCAGATAGTTTAACTTCATTAATATTTAATTTTATCCTTCATTTAATTAATTTTGGGTGCAGTCATTGTGAATCAGCTACACAAGTTTTAAATTTGGATTCTTTATTTTACCAATTAGATAGTTTAACTTCATTAATATTTAATTTTCATTTATTTAATTTTGGGTGTAATCATTGTGAATTAGCTAAACAAGTTCTAAATTTTGATTCTTGATTTATCTCAAGTACAGAGAGTCTGTTAACCACATTCCCAATGTTGGTTAAAGCAATAATTAGACCAAAAAAATAAAAAATACAACTCCAAAATCACACACACGTATTAACAACAAACGACTACAAGTACTGAAGTAAGATGAACAATTTGAGACATGTAATGAGTACCCAATATCGAGAACATGGCAAGGTTTGGTTACGGTCTTGTCAATGGCTTCACGGAAGGCTCTGTTCCTGCGAGAGTCATTAAGCATGTCGAGGTACGAAGTCGTGGCCAAGAGAGGTTTCGGAGCATTCTCTGCAACTGGGTCTTCTTCTTCTTCGATGACGACCCAGTCCGAGTTACCGGTGAGTGGGTCGAGCCTGAGCTGAAACATGCGCTGAGGCGACACGGAGCTCATGGTTCGTAATGGATTGGGGTTGAATTGAGTGATTGGGGAGGGATTGAGACGGGTGATTATGTGGAGAAGAGATGAGAAAGTTAGGGTTTTGTGGATTGAAGAACGCATTAGAAGAAGGGGTTTAAGGTTTGTGGCGACATGGGTCGAGCTTGAGCCACATGGTGAGGGAAGGTGAAACTGCGAGACAGAGTTCGAGACTTTGTGGTGCGTCGATGAGTGGGAACGGGTCGGGTTTGGTACGGGAACCCGGTTGCGGTCTCCGTCCCCGTTTGTAAAATGGAGTAAAATGTTTTTACCTTTTCTAAGGAAATTAAAGGAATTTTAGGAGCATAAGAGAAAACAAAGAAAATTTAGGATATAACTTTAGAAATTAAAAATTTTAAGAGGTATTATATAGAAATTTTCTTATAAATTTAAAAATAATCATATTTTATACTAGATGGGGCCAGGCTTGGGGCATGTGCCCCTGGCACACGTTGGCTCCGTGCATTTATAAATCGTCGATGAATATTTTCATATCACCCTAATATACTTTATCTTATTTTCTCGCTAATGTTGGGATTTGAACATGTTTATAAATTTGCATTGCTCTGTGTTGCATCCAAAATGCCTCATTTGGGCACCAAGGCAGAATAAAGGATGGGATAACATTAATCATGAAATAAAGAAAAATAAATTGCACGGTAACATTAATCTCAATCTGTGTGGTTAACTCTACGAGAGAAGGAAAACATTGGTAATAAATTATTGATCGTGTTTAGAAACATACCAATGTAGAATGGGTTTCGAAAATTATATGATTTCTCTGGACCGCCAACAATTCAAACGGACATGCTAATAAATTTTTCAATGAATAAACTTGTTTTAGCCTAAGGAGACCCAAATTCAATTGAACGATCTCATAAACAAACCATACTCGGCACTACCTTAGTTGATGACTAAGGCCTTTTTTTGGCCAAATTTAATTGTTTAGAGCTCTGAAAATCACAATTTTTAGTCTAATATGAAATCATTGAAATTTTTGTTAGAGGTCTAGATAGATTTGAATTCTACTGTGTTTTTTTTTTTTTCCTCTATTTGTTTGATTAGATTATATCTCTGTTTTTTTCCCTCTCTCTCTCTTATTATTATTATTATTATTATTGTTTGTAATTTGAAAAGATAGTGCCATTTGGGTTTTTTTTTTTTTTTTTATGTTTTTTAGGCAGTTAATTTTATTTCATTTATTATTATTATTATAAATACATGTAGTGCAAAATAGATTTTATGATTGATTAATTAATATTTCAATTGTTTCTCAGCTTTTTCCGTTCAATCAAAGTTTATTTGTTGTAACTTCATATGGAATTGAAAACCCGAATTTATTTGTCTATTTTTTTTAAATAAAATTTAAACCCTCAACTATTTCAAAGCTTATTATTCAAAATATCATACAAATCCACTCTACTGCATTCCGTAGTTTGCGTAAATGAAATCTATTAAAAAATAAATAAATAATTAAAAGGATAAATTGGGAAAAAAAAAAAAATTCCCCCGAACCATTCAACCTTTTCAATTTACCATCTATTTTATTAAAATTTTATTTACTTACTTTATTTGCAATACTACTAAAAAAATTACGGCACATCGCCGAAGATTTGAATAAAAAAAATGAAAAATGGCGGGGGTTGGATCGTCGTGCAATGGCGAGGGTTTGATCTTCGATCACTGTTTCCCCCTCTCTCTATATATATATTGATTTATATTTCTGCATATATCTGTAAAATTTCTTATGTTGCTTCACTATTGTGTTTCTTTTATTGATAGAAGTTCAGTCGTGCAGGATGAGAAGGTTGTTGCTTTCAAAGATATCAACCCCTCTGCATTCAGGTTCCGATATGAACTTTTTCATTTGCATAGTTTATTTCAACCCTATCTTCTGTTGAGGAATGTTTTCGATTAGTAATTGTTTTTTTTTTTTTTTCTTTTTTTTTTTTCTTTTTTTTTTGGCACAAAAACACCACCACAGTCAACACCGACAATCCATAGCTGCCAGCTCTATAATAGCAACAGGGATATGAACAAGGGCAACATCAATAGTAATATGCGACCGAGACAACTGAGCAAGAGCATGAGCGACTTCATTGCCATGCCGTCGACATGGCTAATACGCGAGACAGAGAAACACTTCATCAATTCTTGTACAACAAAAGAAATAGGATGAATTTCCACTGGACCACACGCGACCCCAAGCACCACCTGGACGACAAGTAAAGCATCACATTCAAACCAAACTTTATCAAAACACTGAGACAGAGCCACTGAGCAAAACAAAACATCCACATTACATTTAACCAGCCCCAGGGTAAGGGCGACCAATGGGAAGCAGAAGGAGTATCGGATAAGACAAAATTGTTCTCCAGCGCACTGGGCTTCAAACAAGATAACGATGACTCCAAGGACTCCTTAAATTCCAAACATTGAGTAGAAGCCCAGCTAACAATACGCAAAGGAATAAACAATTCACCTTCAAATACCAATCGATTTCTCGCTTTCCAAATACCCCAGCAACAAAAAGTCACCAGACGAAGCAACTCCTGGCCCTCAAGACCGGAACCCCATTGAATCAACAAATGCATCCACCAGTCCTTAAAAGAAACTGGCGAAGTAGACATGAAATCAAATCGTACAGGCGATAACTTCCATACCTGGATAGAGTAAGGGCAGTAAAACAATAAATGCTCTATGATTAGTAATTGTTTTTGAGATAACATAATTGTGATGTGGAGTATTGTTTTCTTTCATAAATGTAGAGCGTGTTTGGATATGTAGGAGGCTGGTTTTTTAGAGGAAAAAGGAAACGAGGGGAGAATGTTAGCCTTCCTTGAGTTCGATTTAGCTAACTTACTATGAGTTTGAATTGAAGAATTAAAAGGAAAGAGAAGGAAAATAAAAATGGGGGATTAGGGAAAATGAAGAATAACTTAACCTCTTAAACAACGTTTTCTCCATTTTTTAACAAATTGGGAGGAAATAGAAGGAAAAGATATGAAAGTTGGTGATCATTGATCACTGTTTTATATAACAAGTGAATTCCTTTGCTCAATACTTATCACTCCCAAAATAAAATAATCATTTCAAATTATTTTTCTCTATTATATTTTTCAAACACTATGAAGGGGCAACTACTATCTCATCATTTTTTTCCCCCTCTTATTTATCCAAACACAATGAGAGGTTAACATAATTATCTCAATTTCTTTCTTTTTTTCTCTTATAATTGATGTTATTGTTGGCCTAAGGATTTTATCTAAAGGTCAATCTTATATTTTGATGATTACAAACCATTAATGATGTTTAAGTACTAATATTTTCATTGAGTACTAATGTATAGATGATCAATATTCAATCCTCAATGATGAGTTAGAAGATCCATTCCAAGCATTCAAGCAATGGATTCAAGGAAGCCTTAAAAGTTGCAAGAAATCAAAGGCATATTCAATCAAAAAAAAAAAGCTCGGACTTCAAAGATCATTCAAGCATTTCAAAGAAAGAAAGCAAGTCTTCATCAAGCCTAAACGATTATGGTCAAAGAATAAAGAAAATGGGTAGATAGGATGGTGAGTGTTTAGGATTCATTGTCAAAGTATTTGTGAATCCATTTGAAGCTTGTGATACCCCCGGATTTTCGAATGCGGGTTGGCCAGGCTCACGCCCAAATACCCAAGAATATCAAAAACAAATCGGCAATAAACGAACACAGACTACAAAAGAATAGAGAAGAATACATAAAATGTTGACAAGAAACTAAAATGATAATCTAATAATAAACCTCAGAATATATTTCCATTAATTAATAAACTCTTCTGATACAACTGATCCTCCAAAATACAACTCGAGAATCCATACTGTGTGAACCCCTAGAAAATCCAAACTAAACAAATAACAGCAATAATTGCCTAAATAAGGAAATTGAATCATAAAGGAACTCCTATGTAGCATCGGCAGAATGAAATAGACTGATCCCCGCTCAGCACGAACAACCTCTACTCCTATTGAACACCTGAAAAATAATGGTGGGTCAGGCCCACAAACAAGTTCTATTCAACTACAATCCAAGCGGAGATCCGATACACGTATACATCATAGTCAATCCAAACAGTAACTAATAATCCACATATATATATATATACACACACACACACACTAAAGGAACTTCACTAGATTATAGGGTTGTCTCAACCTGAATAGTAGGTAACATGCAAAACGTACATATAGTGGGCATGAATACCTAAACCTACCAGGGTACACAACTATACTATATCTAGCTACACATCCCTGGCGATTTACGCGCCCTAACCACTGATCCTGAGACTCAAACTCATATCATGGCACCATACTTATATATATATATAATTTAGTAATCATCCTATCAAGTATAAATTAATCCTCCATAAGTCATTCAACTTGTTCAGCTGACCTGACTTAAATATAAGTAGGACTTAACATTTTAGTTAATCAATTCCCTTATATAATAAATTAATCCTCCATAAGTCATTCAACTTGTTCAGCTGACTTTACTTGAATATAAGTAGGACTTAACATTTTAGTTAATCCATTCCCTTATATAAAATAGGTAGGACTTAACTGATAAGTTAATCCGTCCCTAAAATGCCACCGTCCCATATCGGTGCATTAAACCACACAATCCAACAATTGATGTAACGATTAAGAAAATACATCAAACAATCCAGAAATAACTATGATAATATAATATCAAGTTATCACAAAATATGAATGACTTATTATTTATTAAGCTTCCTATATCATATGTCCTACACAAACTGAATCTTATACATGATGATATTTTATTATACCGTCAAATAAGTATTCTCCATATCCAATTCATCCTACACATTTAATCTCAATTGCTAAAACATTTTAAAAATTTAAATCCATTCGTTTATTTAAAACATTCAAATAGTAAACATCATTATGATTGAGTCTATTTAAATTTATTTAAACCCAAACCTAGTTCCAATTTAATGTTTAGGAATCATAGGCACGTTCCTACGTTCCATCATTCCACAGATATGAAAAATACATAATTTAAACATATAAAAATTCACACCGGAAATCAAATCAAAATCATGCATTTATCAATTCATAACACAAGAACAG